AGTCTCCGGTGTAGCTCGTGAGCGGGTGGGGTTGGGCCATACAGAAGTGGGTGGGGCTGACGGAGGGAGGGGTTACCAGTGCGCCATGTGTCCCGGTTGAGCCTCTCCACAGCTATTTGGTACCTTTATGAGAAATATTCCAATTCAGTTGTCAAAAGGAATTGATCTGATCCTGCAGCACAGGCTGCCAAGCACTACTGATAATGGTATTACATCAGCACACCTTACTGTTGCAATCTAAGGTAGCGGTTCAATATCCTTATGGGCACTGCCACATAAAATAGAGAATTATTGAAACTCTATGCATTTAACCTCCGCATAGCGTATGTCTGCCCGACCAATGAAGAACGGCTCATCGTGGGATCAGCCAATCGGAGTGGACGAGCTTCTCCGGGTTCCCGAGGGCATCAAGGACGGCCCAGTCCCGCGCAACCGGCCACACCCCCCTGAGTAAGCGCTCTGCCGGAGATGTGGGTCTTCAGCGGGGCCCTAGATCTCTATCGGATACCGAGGTTTCTACGGGAGATTTGATTTTTCCAGCGGGGACATGGATATCTACTGGAGACAGGGCCTGTACTCGAGACATTGGTCTCTCACAGAGAACCCACACTACCAGAGGCAAGCAGCTATATTGGCGACCGAGACCACAGTGCAGTCCTCAGACATCGAGTGGGTTTCTAACAGAGACCTGGGAATTAGTAAATACAGGGGTCTTCAGTGAAGACCTGTACGACAGTGAATGATCTGGGATTATACCACATACCTTGGACCATTCTGAGATTTCATAGATACATCGGTGGACACTTTGATCACATTGTAGAATGGGCACATAGTAGATACTTTCGCCACCGACGTTGATATTTTGAAGACGTGCGCATTTAGGGGAGACCTGATTTAAAGAATTGGCCTGCGACTGCAATGACTAGAGGAGTCGTGTAGCCCTCAAGACAATTGCAGAAATTTCGAATACTAGCACTGACCCGGGACGTGCATCTGGGACGAATATCATGGATATTATGGACACCCAATACACTAACAGAACGTTGAGAATTTGGAAATTTGATTCTTGGTGATGTGGGCTATGGTAATGATGATGGCGGTGATAATGTGAATGAGGATATGGTGTTTGGTGTTCATGATGATGTTGGCTTCTCATTCAGGATATTCCTCAAGACGACACTTCACCACGCTAAGCCCATGAGCAACCTCCATGGAGGTAACCTGTTCTGGGATATACGGACTCCTGAACGCAATCTCCTGACCCCCATGTCTCAAGTACCAGAGTCATGCACCAATAAATATGAATTTGTGTGACCATAATCACAAATGGCAGAATGATCTAAGTATCTTTCCTTGTTGACTGCACTTGTATTTCTATTTCAGAGTCATGCGTGCAAGAATGAATGAATGAAGTTATGAAGGAGACATCATCATCCATAATCCACTGCTGGATGAAAGTCTTCTTAAGTCGTCGCCATATCTCATGATCCTACGATGCAACAATCCACGTGGCTTCTGCACACGAGCTAATCTCATGCCTCGATGTCCTGGGTGGTCTTCCTGTTGGGCGTTATCCTTCCTTTGGCTGCCATTTCATCACCAAGCCTTGACCATGGGCCATAATTCAATCTAGCGATGAGTCTTTTGTCCAAGTCCACTTTACTTTTCTGATGTCAATATCATGCCTCCTTCATCTCTTTGGTGATTGTCCTGATGTGTTTTCTGCTTTGGCTGGTGTTTTGTCACGAGTCTTGACAATCGTCCACCATCCCTTAAGGCGATGTCCTTGCCCAAGCTCTCTTACTTTTCTCAATAGTCAACATGATGTCTCAAAAGCTGTGTTTGTTCTCTGATCCATACATTTATCTTTACGTCAATCACTGTCATTCCCAGCATGCACCTCTCCATACTTATTTGCATATATTTCAGCTTTTGTTCAATTTCTTGTGATCTTAAAATTAAACAATAAAAATGAAGAGTACAAAAGAGGTTTAACAAGTCCAAATTCTTCTTTTCGGCACCCATTAACCAATGTAAAGAACATGCGTAATTTAGTGGCTTTTTTGTAACATGAGTAGGGCCAGGTGATCTGCCAATTTTTGCCAGATCGCCACGTGTTCTGGCTGCTTCCCCTCCACGCGTGTGGAAGATAGCGGGAGGTCAGGGCTGATGGTTTTTGGCGCCAGGGAGTGACGGCAAGACGCAGGATGCCACCGTGCACAGTACTCGTGTTACCCACGGACACTGCCGCGATCCGACCTGCTCCTCTTCTGACTCCCACTCGCCCTGATCTCTATACCCCACCCTGCCCCACTGTGGTTTGTGTTGTTGCCGATTCTCAGGGAGCTGCACCTTCCATGGTGTGAAGCAGGGGGCGGGGGGGGGGAAGCGGAATGCCGCCGCCAATCTCAGAGGCTCCATTGACTTAGTCACGGCTCTGTGCAGGTGTGGCTCTGGCGCAGGTGTGCCAGATAAAAGCGCCATGCTTTTCTCGAGCCGGCTCTGACCATCGTCCCAGCGACGCTCAGGATTTTCATGAGCTGAGCTATGCCACGGCTGAACCGCTCATTCATTCATCTTTGGAAGAAGCTGTGCCACTGTATCCTGAGCTGTGTTTAGGGACTGCCTTGGCACGAGCTGCTGGTCACGTGCAGGGGCCCGCGACTGAGTCTTGGATTCACGGTTGGGACCCATGAGGCTGGGAGTTACAAAGGAGTGTTTTAGGTTGAGGCCATTGACAAGGCCAGTTAAGGCCGAATCCTCGAAGCTGACTGATGATCAACAGTGAGCCAAGCTTGTGTTGCACTGAGGAAACTGACAAACACTTTGAAACAAAGCCAACAGCTACATCTCTTTCACTTCCTCACGATTTACTTTTTGGGAAAACTTTTCAAGAAAAATTAGCTGTTAGACGATATTTAGAAATGTTATGAGCGTTATCATTATGGGACATGACACGTGTCCAGACGCCTTTTGGCGTCATCTGGTCCAACCCATGTGAGACTAGGCTCTAAGGAAAGCTGTCTCGGGTGTGGACCAATCAACTTCAACGACAGTGCATATATTATCAGAGTTATGTTTTTTGTTTGCATTATGACCGCAGGTATTGTGGTCTATGCAAACATGACTCCTTGTAAAAAAACAGGTGTCAGTTTTGTTGCCAGATAGAAGGGTAACAAAAAAACAATTATCATATTTTTTACTGGCAAATGAGGTTCCAATGGCATAACCCAAATCACCAAAATGGTTACGGGATCGAGGATTCCCGAGATCTTGGCCAAGGTCAAAGAGAACTGAGAGAATATCTTCAAGATGGCCTGCAGGCCGAGGACTGGTCCCAAACACCCAAGACGACCACAACGATACTCTGTTTTTTAGCACGGGCCAATAACTGGTTGAGAAACCACAAATTGTGGGATCTAAAGTGGTAACATTGGCCGGTGTTCTACTGCACGTCATACCGGCACTTTTCATTATCCCAATTTCTATCTTACGGCGATTCCGCAACTCTTTGGTTCTTTCGGTAAAGTCACGTAGGTATAAAATAAGTATAACCCGTAAAAACTAAAATTTTCACTATAAATCCTTTATACGCGTGGCGGCTAGAGTCCTCTCGTCCTCTGGCTTGAGATGGCTGCCACCTATTGGTCAGATGATTGCATTGCACCATTAAGCAATTGGTAATTAAATATAATATTTTTGTCCTAAAAAGTGTACAATTTTGGAATTTTTTTTTCACGAACATTAATTGTCACGCACAACGAGTCTGTGTGAAAAATGTCAGCTCGATTGGATCACGGAAAGTGGGTTAAAAAACGACCGAAAGATTTGCACGGTCCTAAGCAAGCAAGCGAACTTAATATGAATGATTTAATAAAAAAATAAATTAAATTACACAAGCAATCATCATCATTGATTATTTTATACTCACGTGACTTTACCGAAAGAACCAAAGAGTATGGAACCCTGCAGTCACGAAAACTTCTAATCTAGGCGATTCCACAGTGAACATGAGCTGCTTACTGGACGAATAGGTTGTTCTACAACTTCTAGATTTCAATTTTGACCACTGGAGAATAATCAGTAGATTTGACTTTCTTGGCCCGTGCCCCTTGAACAAGGGAGCTCCAGGAGGTTCTATCATATCTTGACTCCACTTTGATGGCACAACTTGGGGTGATCAAACAAATGATGAAGGGTAATTTGTAAAGCAAGTGTGCATTTTATTTCATGTGCTTTAGTCACACGAATGCAAAGAACAAACAAATATATCTATCTATCATGACAATGAAAAGCGTTTAATGATACACAATGGATATACATGCATGTGCGTACAGACATCGCAAGTTAGACGCAGTGTGTGAGAGTGGCTCGTGGGGAGCATGAGATTGACCAGTAGTGGTCCGGTGGGAGGGAGAGCGTTATACTGGTAGGAACGAAGTGGACCAGACCACCAATAGATTAATGTGTCCGTCCGTCCGTCCGTCCGTCCGTCCGTCCGTGGGAGGGGTGGTGTTGAGGGTGGTGTTGGAAATGAAAGACTACGAGTCTTTAAATCTCACAGCGTTTCTTGTCAAAACAAACACTTTTAATTAACGTTACACTAGAATACAGTAATTTTTTCTTTAACTCCTCTATACCCGGTCGATATCTCTGTACCGGTACTAAGTATTATTCCTACCAGCTCACCCGCAGGGTCCTGTTTATAAATCCTGACCACGTATTCAAAATTCCAAAATCGTTTACCCTATATTCATATTCTTAGGTTTTTTCGGTAAAGTCACGTAGGTAAAAATAAAGTAATTAATTAAAGTAAAATAAAAATAAAATAAAAATCACAACGTTTCGGAGGCAACACAAGCTTCCGTCTTCAGGTGGAACCGTCACAGCACGATAGCTGTATCACTTGATACAGCTGTCACTTGATACAGCTATCGTGCTGTGATGGTTCCACCTGAAGACGGAAGCTTGTGTTGCCTCCGAAACGTCGTGATTTTTATTTTATTTTTATTTTACTTTTATTTAAAAAAATTACCTACGTGATTTACCGAAAAAACCTAAGAATATGAATCCTTGCAGTCACGAAAGCTTCAAATCTAGAATCCTTTACCCTATACTGCCATCGAATCCTTGTATTCTCTGCAGAAAAACTCCATTCAGTGGCCATAAAATTCAAGTGATGGTAGTGGTGATGTGCACGGAGATCATCACAGTGATGATGCCCATTCTGTTGCTGCTGAGGGATTGTGATGCAGATACTGCTGCTGGTGTCGTTGAAGATGATGTAATACTGGTGGTAGTTACTATGTTGCTGGGAGTGCCGCTGGTAATTGATGATGACTCTTTGGTGGATGACGTGATTGTCTCTGACCAAATCATTTTATGTCCGTTGAAGGCGAACGATACGGCAATCTGTTCCTCTCGACGAGCTCTACACGATGCGCTAATCAAATGTTGGCAACGACGGGTGCTTGGTGAAGAACGAGAGGATTGATTTCTGGTGGGTGGCGGTGGGACGGAGTCGCCAAAATTAAATGAATCAATTACGATTTTGACTTCCGTTTATTCGCGACCCCCGGGGGGGGGGGGGGGGTCCCGCCATAAGGTTCACATCGCTACATCACGCTGTGCCCACGGGGCTCGGGCACCTTGCCGCGTCCGCAGGGCAGTGGAATAGCTCCTTGGCCACGGAGCCCGTTCCTGCGCCAGGGGCCAAAGCGAGGCCGCAGTGAGGCTCGGCTGGACGCGCCCCGCTGTGCGTGAGCGCGACGAGCTCGTCCCCGAGCGCGAGCGACACAGAGGCGTGCGAGCACCACGCCGCGTTCACCGAGTTGCCTCCCAGCAGGCCTGGCACCGTGCCCCGGCAGGCGACCGTGCGTGAGGTCAGCTCGTACATCCACACGTCTCCACCTACAGGCAGCGCGCAGCGGGGATGCTCTTCAGTGGCGTGACAAAGTTACAAGGTGGAATTATCTGAGGGATGATGATTCACCTGGTGAGTTGGAGAGTAGGGGTGTGGAGAGTAGGGGTGTGGAGAGAGGGGTGTGGAGAGAGGGGTGTGGAGAGAGGGGTGTGGAGAGAGGGGTGTGGACAGAGGAGTGTGGAGAGAGGGGTGTGGAGAGAGGGGTGTGGAGAGAGGGGTGTGGACAGAGGAGTGTGGAGAGAGAGGTGTGGACAGAGGGGTGTGGAGAGAGGGGTGTGGAGAGAGGGGTGTGGAGAGAGGGGTGTGGAGAGAGGGGTGTGGACAGAGGAGTGTGGAGAGAGGGGTGTGGACAGAGGGGTGTGGACAGAGGGGTGTGGAGAGAGGGGTGTGGAGAGAGGGGTGTGAAGAGAGGGGTGTGGAGAGAGGGGTGTGGAGAGAGGGGTGTGCAACTCACCCTTGGTTACGGTCAGGATGTTGGGGTGAGCGCTGCAGATGAATGCTGAGTCCCAGGATGCAGGGAGCCCAGGGAACTCGGTGGAGATTGGCTTTGGGAACCCGGAGAGCAGCACGAAGGAACCCTCGCCCTTAAATATCCACACGAGGTCGCCCTGGGGACAAAGACAAAGATCCCCCATATAGCCTTAACAGACTGTAGGGGCAAGTGCTGTTAGCGAGCACCAATGAAGGCCGGAACGGCACACGAGGGGATGGGTGGCCAGCACCACGCCCGACCGCCTTTGTCTCCCTAGTGGCGATGTTTACGCACTGCACCAGGTACTCATTTGAGGCTGAGTCGACCTAGGGGAGACCCGGGAACGGTTCAGATAAACGTCACTGGTGTTGGCCGTGAGCGGGAATCGAACTCGTGTCGCCGGGTTCATAGCGCAGCGTAGCGCTAACCGCTACACCACCGTGTGTGTGACACACAGACACAGACACACAGACACACAACAAAGACAAAGACCCCCTCATAGATTTCACAGACTGTTGGGGGCAAGAGCAGTTGGCGAGCACCGTTGAAGATCGGCACAGCACACCAGAGGGTGGCCAGCACCAAGATGAGCCGCCTTTGTCTCCACAGTGCTGATGTTTACACACCACACCGACTTTTGAAAGGCTAAGTCGAGCCTAGGTGAGGCCCAGGACCAGTTTAGGAATTCGTCACCATTATTGTTGTTGGGCTCGTAGCACACTGTGCCAATACGCTGCCACTCCCCGCAGACGCATGTACACACAAATGCGTTGGTGTGAGTTGTTGTTATTGTTGTTGACGTCACACCTTGGTGAACACCATGTTTGAGTTCCACTCGAAGGCCGAGTCCGGGTTGAGAGGAGTTCCGGGCCAGGAGTCTGTGATCCGGAATGGATGCATTCCATCCCGCCTGGTGTCCAGCCTCCAGAACCACGCTCCTGCACAGGCATGAAGACAAAGATCCCCCGTATAGCCTCGTCAGGCTGTTGGGGCAAGTGCTGTTAGCGAGCACCGATAAAGGTCACCACGGCACACGAGTGGGAAGGTGGCCAGCACCACGCCCGGCCACCTTTATCTCCGTAGTGGCGATGGTTACACAGTCCACCAGATACTCATTTGAGGGTGAGTCGACCTAGGGGAGGCCTAGGACCGGTTCAGATATTCGTGACCGATGTTGGCCGTGGGCGGGAATCGAACTCGGGTCGCCCGGTTGTCCATAATATATATTTTTTGGGTTAGTTCGTGTAAATATATAAATGTGTTGTTAAAACCCGCCGCCAACAGACGCAGCCAACTAGTAAGGGTTGTCACGTAAACAGAACGTGCCAATTGGTCACTAGTACAGCACTAACCGGTGTGTTGGAGAGCCAAGCGACAACATTTACAACCTGGCTTGGCTCTCCAACACACCGGTGTGCTGTACTAGTATACTACACTATACATTAGTGCTCTACTAGTGACGGATTGGCCACGTTCTGTTAACGTGACAACCCTTACTAGTTGGCTGTGTCGGGTGGTGGCGGGTTTTAACGACACATTTATATATTTACGCGATCTAACCCCAAAAAAACCTCTATTATGGATGATATTGGTCGCGAAAGCCGACGTGTTCAACTGAATATAGTATGTCCTTTGTCTCCGTCAGCAGGCCGTGTTGCAGCTCTGTCTGGCCTCATGGCAGGGACTAGGCTCGGGACCTGATTAAGAGGCGTGAGAAAGAGGAGGTGTGAGGAGGAGGAGGAGGAGCAGGAGTGGTGTGGACCTCGGAAGGCGAAGCTCCTCCCGTCGGGGCCCACGGAGAGGGCATCCAGGCTGCGACCGCTGCATCCGTTGGTGTCGTGGCACGGGTCGCGGCTGCTCCCCTTCTTGTGCACGTGGTCTGCTGGGTGCCCGTGACACCCAGCACCACCATCCGGGGAGCAGGAGTGGTGGCACAAACCCACACGACACACACAATAGCCTCATCGTATGGTGGAGATGTCATGAGTTTCATGGCAGGTGGTGCACGGCAAGGGCACGGACTGCGACATGCCAATCAGTGGGAGGTTATGAGAGAGCTGTGACTCGCAGATGCCCGGGTGACGTGTGGGAGATGCAAATCGAGAATTATTAGGGTGGGTAAAAACCCCTATGAGCTTCATAGTAGTTATTTTAGTTGTTGGGAAAACAGTGCGGAAAAAAGGTGGCAAATATAAATCGTGGTGGCATCACGATGCTCATTTGACACGGCAGCTACAGGTGCGGCCCAGCTCAGATTAGCAGAGGGCACGACCCGCACGGCACGGGGAGGCCCCTTGCCCATTAGTGGCGGATCGACAGACGCGCGAAGCCATCCACCTCATTCGTACCCGGGCAGTGGTGGAAGTAGACTCTGGCGTCGCGAGGGTAGCCGGGCGGCACGAGGCCCGTGATGGGCTCAAAGCGGTAGAACTCGTGTCCGTGGAAGCAGTAGTAGCGGCCGAGCCAGCGAGTGACTGCGGAGCAGGCGGGGAGGGCTGGGAAGGAGCGCCGCTTGCACGCGCCCGTGAAGAGGTCGCATGCGAGCACCTCGCCACCTGAGCGGGCGACACGACGAGTTCGACTTCCTCCATTTGGCCCCCGCGCGCTGTCTCGAGACACCGGGGAGAGTCTGGCTTGCATTACACAAAACGGCCATGATGTTGATGAGCACTGATGATGATGATGTTAAAAGGAAACATTGATTCTGACGACGATGTTGACACTATGGGAACCTCATTTGCCAGTAAAAATATGATAATTGTTTTTTTACCCTTCTATCTGGCAACAAAACTGACACCTTTTTACAAGGAGTCATGTTTGTATAGACCGCAATACCAGCAGTCATAATACAAACAAAAGAACATAACTCTGATAAAGTGCACTGTCCTTGAAGTTGATTGGTCCACACCCGAGACAGTTTTCCTTAGAGCCTAGTCTCACATGGGTTGGACCAGATCTGGTCCAACCCATGTTGGGCCAGATCTGAGCTGGGCCGCACCTGTAGCTGCCGTGTCTCGGGTGTGGACCAATCAACTTCAAGGACAGTGCACTTTATCAGAGTTATGTCTTTTGTTTGTATTTTGACTGCAGGTATTGCGGTCTATGCAAACATGACTCCTTGTAAAAAGGTGTCAGTTTTGTTGCCAGATAGAAGGGTAAAAAACCAATTATGATGTTGACACTGTTTATAAAAACATGATCATGACAATGACTAAGATTCAATGCTGATCACGACGATGCTGACGGTGATTACAGCGATGATCATGCAGAGGGAGATGTTATTGATAACATCTTTTAATCCTCTAGGCCCTGTCTACTGAAATAATTTAGGGCCCAATGCATCATTCCGTTTGCATTGCATAAAACGGCACGCTCGGTTTCTACCGCTGACCTTCATTGATAGGCGTGTGTTTACGGCAATGGATCCACGTGTTTACGGAAATCCATGCACGTGTTCATGCAACCAACCAGCATTCATCAATCTGCTTGAACCACTTTTGAGTCCACTGCATTGATCTGTGATGACCTCTCTGCCTCGCCTCGTCCCGAGGCTCATCGACGGCAGCAGAAGAGTCGTTGGCAGTTTGAAGGACCCGCGACCCTGTTTTTAACGTAAGTGATTGGTAGCGTGTGACAAGTTTGCCGCACCAGGGATGCTACTGAACACGAAACCGTGCACGTTAACACAACTCACGGAAAATCTGCCGCTAAACGACGATTGTCTCACTTGACTCAACTGTGCACGGCGATGATGTGGGGGCCTACAGTCAATTGTTCGCATGAACAGTCTGCCAAATGGGGGGCAAGAGACCCCCTGCTCCCTCTTCGTGCTGTTCAGGGTTGGGTTGTTGTTTTCTTACTCTTAGGTTTTTTCGGTAAAGTTTCGTAAGTAAAAAATAAAATTAAAATTAATGAAAGTAAAATAAAAAATCACGACGTTTCGGAGGCAACAGAAGCTTCCGTCTTCTTGGTTCTTCCGTCTTCAGGTGGAACCGTCACAGCACGATTGCTTTACTTGATACAGCAAGCATGCTGTGACGGTTCCACCTGAAGACGGAAGCTTGTGTTGCCTCCGAAACGTCGTGATATTTTATTTTACTTTCATTAATTTAATTTTATTTTATACCTACGTGACTTTACCGAAAAAACCTAAGAGTATGAATCCTCGCAGTCACGAAAGCTTCAAATCTAGAATTGTTGTTTTCTGTCGTTGGGCCGTGCCTTTAAAGAAGAGCACGGAGTCGGAGCGGCAGTCCTCGGCGGGACACTCGACCACGGCGTCAGGCGAGGCCGGAGCCCCTGGGAACGCGGCCGAGATGGCCATTGGGAAGCCGGGCTCCAGTGTCGTCCCAACGTAGCGCCATACTTCACCGCCCTGGCACACACGAGCACACACGACGGTCGAGGGGGGACATGCGCATTCATACACAGGTACGCAGAGACACGGGTGCATGGAGACACGGGTACATGAAGACACAGGTACATGGAGACACGGGTAGGCCGAGACCAAGGTACATGGAGACACGAGTGCATGGAAACACGGGTACATGGGGACACGGGTACATGGAGACACGGGTAGGCCGAGACCAAGGTACATGGAGACACGAGTGCATGGAAACACGGGTACATGGGGACACGGGTACATGGAGACACGGGTAGGCCGAGACCAAGGTACATGGAGACACGAGTGCATGGAAACACGGGTACATGGGGACACGGGTACATGGAGACACGGGTAGGCCGAGACCAAGGTACATGGAGACACGAGTGCATGGAAACACGGGTACATGGGGACACGGGTACATGGAGACACGGGTAGGCCGAGACCAAGGTACATGGAGACACGAGTGCATGGAAACACGGGTACATGGGGACACGGGTACATGGAGACACGGGTAGGCCGAGACCAAGGTACATGGAGACACGAGTGCATGGAAACACGGGTACATGGGGACACGGGTACATGGAGACACGGGTAGGCCGAGACCAAGGTACATGGAGACACGAGTGCATGGAAACACGGGTACATGGGGACACGGGTACATGGAGACACGGGTAGGCCGAGACCAAGGTACATGGAGACACGAGTGCATGGAAACACGGGTACATGGGGACACGGGTACATGGAGACACGGGTAGGCCGAGACCAAGGTACATGGAGACACGAGTGCATGGAAACACGGGTACATGGGGACACGGGTACATGGAGACACGGGTAGGCCGAGACCAAGGTACGTGCATTGAACATCCAAATTGAGACATGGGGGTGAACACGGCCGAGAGGAAGAGCGCTGCACAGTGACGAGACCAAGGCGCGCGATGGCGGAAGGTGAAGTGCCGCTGTTTCGTGATGCGTTACTCGATGCGGTATAATAATAATATAGTCCTTTTAATTCGAGCAAGCCTCCCTGAGTCTCAAGATTATTTACCAAGAGGATCCATCACTGGGATGTTGGCCATTCCAATTAACGAGTGTTTGGATTCATGTGGGAGGAAATATTAGAACCCAAGTAAAAACCATCACACACATGACATGGAGTCTCAAAACGTTGGTTTCAGGAGGGTCTCGCATTGAGATATTTTGTCAGATCCATTGGTATTCTGCAATTCTATCAAACGTGCAGAGCCCACCGATTAGCCTCGTGGACACGCGTGTGCACACGTGGCAAACGAGCGGCACCTTGAAGATGTAGGTCTTGTAGTGATGCTCGTTGCCCTTCGAGTGCCGCCTGAAGGCCGCGCTAATCGAGCCGTTCGGGATTTTCCAGTCCGAATCGATGAACCCCATGGAAGCGTTGGGCCCGAAGTTCTTCCAGTAGACGGGGCCTGGGGGATGAGAAGATGTCGTCGTTAACAACGTCTCCCTCTTCTTGACGATCGCTGTAATGGCCCTCAGCATCAGCATCGTCGTGGTCATCATGAAATCTCAGTGTGATGATCATGTTATTATCAACATCGTCAACATGACCATCATCGTCGTCAACGTTGCCTTATCATTATTGTTTTTGCACATCATCACGCCTACCACCTACTCACCCTGAACGCATCATATCTTGCCAGATCTTCGCAGCTATGCGATATTTGAGCCTGGTTTAATACTCGGATGGGAGATTGCTGGGAATGGCAGGTGTTGTAGGTTTGGGCTGCAAGCTGACCTGGCAGATAGTAGTTCAGCAACGGACTCTTGCACCTCACTGCACGTGCGGGTTTCTCTGGGTACATTTCAACAGCAGTGGTGGCGGAAAAACACAACTTCTGGAGGTTGAAGGTCAACAATGCAATATAGCGTTCATTCGTTGAAAAATCCCAGTGAGATCAAAGGTGACCGGGAGAGGGAGGGTAAAGCTTATAGAACAGGTTGGGACCGCCTCGTATAATACTACCAAAAAATGATATCCTTAAAACTCTCGTTTTTGTCCCCCGCAAGACCTGATGGTGATGAATCTCACTGTGCTCTTACCCACTTGCACATTTCCCTCAGTTTAGATCATTGCCCATCGTACCTTGACACCTACACGCACCGGACGGTAGTAACCACGAGAAGATGAAATTTGTCCTCAAGTGTTCATCTTAGGCAGGGGGCGAGCAAGTATCTTTGTTTGCGTTGCCTCACCTTTGAAGATGTACGTGATCCCATCTAAGGAGCTGGCAACAGCATCTAGATTTCCCTCCTCACATCGGTCTGGGATGTCGATGTGCTCTGGAATATAATGGTTACCATCATCATCACCACCATTACCATCACCATAATCAACAACAACGCCACCATCACCACCATCACTATTACACACATCACCACCACCATCATCATCATCATAACCACCATCATCAACACCATCACCACTACCATCATCATCACCATCATCAACACCATCACCACGACCACCATCATCACCACCATCATCAACACCATCACCACTACCATCATCATCATCACCATTATTATCATCACCATTATCACTATCACCACGACCACCATCATCAACACCATCACCACTACCATCATCATTATCACCATCATCAACACCCCACATTATCACCACGACCACCATCATCACCACCATCATCAACACCAACAACACCATCAACACCATCACCATTATCACCACGACCACCATCACCACCATCATCACCACCATCATCACCACCATCATCAACACCATCACCACTACCATCATCATTATCACAATCATCAACACCACACATTATGACCACGACCACCATCATCACCACCATCATCAACACCAACAACACCATCAACACCATCACCATTATCACCACGACCACCATCACCACCATCATCACCACCATCATCAACACCAACAACACCGTCACCGTTATCACCACGACCATCATCACCACCATCAACACCATCACCACTACCATCATCATCACCACCATCACCACGACCACCACCATCATCAATACCGACACAATTTTGTGTCTTGACCCTCCGCGTTAAATCCCAGAACCTCAGCGGTGCTGACTCAGGGCCATGGCCCCTGCGACTAAACCAGCATCTCAAGTCGAGTGAGTTGATGGGCTCAGCCTGGTCACCAATGGCTGCACAAAACAACACATTGCTCGTGCTTAACGTGACAAACATTCCAGCTTGGCAATTTAAAGGATTTCACAAGCAATTCAGAGATATCAACTTCTGCGGGCCATTCTCGGGTGCATGTGGTCATGCGCTCCTCGGTGAGATCTCTGAACGTGTCTTTAATCTCGTGGCACGATACTGACAGCACGATATGTGTAGCATTTGGTGGGGGGGGGGGGGTGGTGGGGGGGAGATGTAAAATTATTGAATAAACCTCTCACGACGATATCGACGTTGCCCTTGAGGTCATTGTGGTCCAGGATGTGGCACCCGTAGGCTCCTCCATCTCCAAGGCTCAGCTTCCCCACCTGCAGGACCTCCTGCACCTTGCTCTTGACGACGCCTTCCTCCTCCACCTCCTGCTCCTTCCTGGCACCTATGGTCACTCGCCCCGTCTGCCAACAGAGCGCAGAACGGCGGCGGGCGACGCAGGTGAGGCAGACGAATGGGCGGGTGGGTGGGTGTGTGATTCTGATGATTGGTGTGTATTGGTGAACGTGAATGCCTCAAGGTGGATGTGTGAAGAGGGTATAGCTCAGGTGAGTAGTTAGATCAGTGGATTTTTGGTGGGTGGGTGTGTGATAGGGTAGTTTAGCAGGTGAATGAGTGGGTAGGTGAGTGCATGGGTGGGTGGGTGTTCGTGTTGATGGATGGCTGGGTGGTCGAGTGGGATTTAGGGGGGTAGTTGGGTGTGTGTGAGGGATGCCCGTCATGATATATTTCATGATCGTGTGCGTCACGGCGTGACAGCTCGCCGCACCACGCTGTCTGGGTGATGCCACACGAGGTCGGCGCTCGTTGGGCCCGTCACGGAGCACATGACCTTCACCCCCTCGCCGTGCACGCGCTCACTCCGGTCTCCATCCACGTACATGCGCACCGTGAACCCTGCACAGGGACAACCCCACGTGGCGTGACTACGGTGTCGACATGGCTCCACTGACAGGAGGCATACATCTGCCACACCTGCGTGTGTCGGGGTTTCTCTGGGTATTGTGGTTTTCTCTCCACATGGAGCCACTCATTAGAAGTGGAATTTCAGGAGACGACTCAAACTCTCCGCACTGTGAGGCCCTTTTTGGTAGGCAACATTGTTATATTATTGGCTGCCGTACAGTCTACACACATACACGTTAATCTCCCGGGTCTGCCTTTATAAAGAGACATTCGGTCTAGATGAACTCAAAGTTGGTCACAAAGAAGACATCCTGTATCTACACAAAATCACACATGCATCAACGTGGCTTCTTACCTGAACCAACTTCTGTCATCAATCTCCTGCTGTAATGATATAAAATGACAATGACTGTTAAAACAAATGTTCGTTATCTCTGTGCAACTTAATTTTTTTGTAGTTTCCGATGAATGGGCAAAAGTTCGGCCCTGACCGAGATTTGAACTCTGCACGGCCCAGCAGACTGCAAGCCAAGCGCTCTGGGCACTGCGCCGCACTTACGAATTAATGAATGAAATCTCAACACACTGGTCAACAACACTGTGGTCAAATCTAGAATGAACACTGTGCCCTTAAAAAAAGAAATCGGCGACGTTTCGGGCAATGGCCCTTCTTCTCAACACAAACGAATAGATTACAACACTAACAACAAGAGTGGGGCTCAGCGGGGACATGCATTTGCGAATTTGTGAGACGCAGAATCGCCATGGGTGGGGACAAGCTAGGAGATGGGGGGGGGGGGTCCAGGAGGAGTTGGCGAGGGGGGCATTGGAGTGTAGTGACTGCCAAGCGCAAGTTGTACATCAGGGCTCTCGCCTGATGAAGCTGGTTGTCATTACTGGCGAAACGTCGTACTCAGATGGTAAATGTTGTGGCTTGGCTCTCCAACACACCGGTTAGTGCTGTACTAGTCCACTACACTATACACTACTATACACCACACTACACACTAGTGCTGTACTAGTGACGAATTGGCTTCACAGCGTTGGGTAAACTAAAAACATTCTAGATTTGAAGCTTTCGTGACTGCAAGGATTCATATTCTTAGGTTTTTTTCGGTAAAGTCACGTATTTTTATTAATTTTGATGTTTTACCTACGTGACTTTACCGAAAAAACCTAAGAATATAAACTAAAAACAACTATGAAAAAATATTTCAAAAACATGTTTTACCAGGTAAGCACCCACTGAGCTATGCAGCTCTTTCTCAGAAGCGACCTGGCCACCAATAACAGCTCAGGGTGTCGCTTGCTGTTCTTTGAGGATCTCTTCGTGACGCTGTTCATCAAGGACCGTCTCGGATTCACGTGCATTGCGGCTCATGAAAAAAAAAATCGAGATTTTACCGAATTGTAAAATAAAAAAATTAATTGCCGACCCTTTTGATGGCTCAACGAAGTGGCTTATCACGTGAAAAATGTTGTAGAGGCCAAAAAACTCTAAACGCATGTTTCTAAATGTGGAGTAAACATCCAGAGGACCCGGAGAAAAGTCCACACAACCACGCAGAGAGAGAGAGACACGCAAACTCACAATACACAGGCGTCAGGGTCGGGATCGAAGCCACGAACCCACGACCTCCTGTATACCGGGCGAGGCAGTTAACATCTCGCCACCACGGCAGGAGCACAGAGCCGGTCCCCTGCATGGGCGGCGATCTTATGCAATCGCTTCTTGTTCTCTCGTTAACCGGTGGATTCGGCTACAGCAGCTACGGGCATTCGCCTCTGCGGAGTACAGCAGTTGTACATCAGCTCGGGTAAAACGCTACAGGCATTTGCAGTCTACGAGCTTAACAGTAAGACACTTTTTCCACGTCCTTCTTTCACTAAGACCACTCCCGCGAGGCTGCTGCTCCGCAAGTCCCCAGCGCGCACGTGCAGGGAGGACGCGTACGGCTGGGTCATCCCGAGGGACAACCGCGTCGATCGCGTCTCTCACGGGGACAGCAGCAGCGGTTTGTCGGTGTCGGCGTCCAAAACCCTTCCGGCAAGCTCATGCCCAGCTGCCAGCCACGTGTCGCAACAGCGACGATGATAAGAGTGACGATGACATTCTCATTTTGATCACGCGATGTAACACGAAATTTGTTCCTGGGTACTAAGTGTTATTTTTTTAATTGCGTATGCCTAAAAAGTGTAGAAAATGGATATTATTCCCCGCAAACTTTGCTTTTGCGACCAGGAATTTCTGTGAAGGAATGACACAAACGCACACGTTTCTCATTGAAAATAGGTACATTTCTGTACTTTTGAGGCATAAGCAATTAGGAAATAACACTTAGTACCCAGGAACAAAAACATGTGTTTGTTACGCAGTGGTATGTGTCCATTCGATTACCTCGTAAAGCCGTGCGCCCCCAGTGCCAGGCATGCGCTCATCAGCAGCACGTGGTAAGAGGTGGCCATTGCGAGCCTGTCACCGCGGCCGTGCAGACCCTGTCAGGAGGAGGGGAGACGATGACCACGGTCAGCACATCGCACAATGGTGGTGCCCCAACGGCAACAAGCGGTTCAGAATCTGTGACGGAGCTCCCACATTTCTAGGGTCAGGACGAGTACAAGCTGTTAGCAACGCAAATAACGCAACAGCAATGATACGCACGCCTTTGCAATCCCGAGATTTTAGAGGCAGGGCTGGTGGGTCGCGCGCAGATCACGGTGAGCTGCGATCTCGCACATCTTAAAAACCCCGACAATCACGTGGTTTCCTTTAAGACGTACTTCAGGCGATTGCAATGCAAATGTTAAACGTGTGTGTGTGTGTGCATTGACACATCGGCTTAAAGTTGCAATGTGCATACATCGTAACTGATTCACGCTACGCGCGTTATTAAATACGTTTTACATCGAGAACATCATTGTGTCGTGAGCGCAATAATATAATTGTACAAAACAATCACGAAATAAGAAACCACTCAGACAATACACCTCTCTCGCGTGAAACAACAATGCACTTGGTTTTTACGCATCCTATCAGCATCATTGTCTCAACACAAACATCAAATTCTAGATTTGAAGCTTTCGTGACTGCAAAGATTCATGCTGTTAGGTTTTTCGGCAAAGTCACGTAGGTAAATAAAAAAAAAATTCTCAAAGTAAAATAAAAATCACGACGTTTCGGAGGCAACACAAGTGTAATAAAAGGACTCGAACACTTCTTTCTGTCTTCGTGTCTTTATTCAGGTTCACGTCTTTACCCACACGGCACTCTGTTATAACTCCTGTATTTGTAGCCCCCGGCTATTCACTGCTATTATAGCTTCCTCACCCCTCTGACTCTCTGCTTCATCTACTGTAACCTTCTCCCTGCAGACTCGCTGCTACCCCTATGTGCAGACCCTCTGGCTGTCACTGTATGCAGACCCGCTGCCCACTCTTTCTGTGCAGCCCCGCTGCTGACTGCAGCCTCCTTGCTGCTTCGGGTCGGTCACCGCTGGCCAACGGTGCCGATCCTCGCTTCCCCCGTGTTCGTGGCGATCTCGCCACACCCCGCTTCGCCCTACGTGGCCTTCCTCTGTTCCTGGCTCCCAGTCACTCCCCCTGCTCTTCCGGTTCCCCTCCTTCTATACTCAACCCCTCTCCCCCCACGTGACCTAACTCCTCCCCCCCTGACGGCACCTCAGAAGGGCCGTTTACAACCGCATTACATCACCCTCCCCCCTAAAGAAAATCCAGCCGACCTCGGCTGAATTGCAACCTGAAAAGCAATGCGGGTGTAAAGGGCCAACACGCAAAAAGACATGAAGCATTGAAGAACATTATAACAATAACACAACACAACACAATCTAACGAAACGTGAGGGATTTCGAGCGAGTACGGGTAGCCGGGCCGTCCCGGACGGTCGGCGGCCCACCCGCCGAGCGGGAACGTGGAAGGGTTTTAGGGGCGACGGGCGCAAGTTCTTCCGTCGCCATTGGAGGCCCGCCACTGTCCCGCTCGCGTCCAGAAACATCCCGTACTCGCGTCCGCGGAGGGATAGGAAGAGCTGCAGGTCCCGTGGGTTCTGCGGCTCCGGTTGGCGTCCCACAAGCGGAAGGTCCTCCTCCCTGCGCTGTCACGGCCGGCTTGTCTGTGAAGGGTACGACAGGCGCTCTCGCAAGGTCAGCAGACACAGGCAAGGGCGAGTCGGCAGCAACAGACCCCGGCAAGGCAACTTGGGGAGATGACGCATCCGGCCGTGGGGCAATGTATGGCTTCAACCGGGACGTGTGCACGAACCAACGCCGTGCACCAACCTGAACACGCGCCGACTGTGGGTTGGGAACCTCAATGAGGCGGACCGGACCCTGCCAAGGTCGATGTAATTTAGGAGATGTACCTGGCCGCACCTGTGGGCAATGAAGCCAGGCCAGGTCCCCCTTTTTCCAGGGACACTCCCCCTTTGAACGTCGGGCACACCGCTCATTCCTGGCCTGAGCCTTGGCAGTAGCCATGCGGGCATTTTCCCTCGCCTCAGCGACACGCCGAACGTTGTCCTTAATATACTCAGGAAGAGGCTTAACAGGCCCCCTCGCACCGGTTCCCAACTGGTCATGAATCGGCGGCACGTTCTCACGGCCGTACATAAGGAAAAACGGCGAGTATCCAGTAGCCGCGTGCGGCGTCATGCGATACGCCGAAAGCACCCCAGGGATATGCAAATCCCAATCAGATTGGTTTTCCCCGACTGTATGGCACAGCATGGCGGACAGAGTCCGATTCAACCGTTCCACCATACCATCCGTTTGCGGGTGGTAGGGGGACGTCCGTATCTTTTTAGTTCCAAGAGCCGCACACACCTCCCCCAACAATTTAGACGAAAAGTTACGTCCCTGATCCGTAAGGAGCCTCTCCGGAGCCCCTTTGTCTATTACATACCCAAATAGAAAGGCGTCCGTGATAGACGCCGCTGACTGGTCAGGCAAAGGCCAGGCCATCGGCCAGCGAGAGAGGTACTCCACCCCCACCAGTAAATACTTATTCCCTTTAGCTGATGGCGGAAAGGGTCCCAAAATATCTAACGCCACCAACTCATTAACCCGAGATACTTTAATCGATTGTATCGGCGGAACATATGGATGTTTAGGCGGCTTACGGCGGGCACAATCGGGACACGCGCGAACGTGACCGACGACATCCGTCGTCATGCCGTGCCAATAATAGTCTCGTTGCAGCGTCAATAGGGTTTTCTGCACCCCCAGGTGTAAAAGTGTGTCACAGTGCAAGGATCTAATCAGCTCATAGCGCAATGACGCAGGCACAACGAGACGCCAGTGTTCCTGTATCCCTTCCCTCCACATCAGTAACCCATCTCGGAGAGCAGTTTCCGAATTACCACCCGCACCGACTTCCTTACCCGCCTTCTCCGTTCGTTTCCGTAACGACACCAAAGAATCGTCCAACATTTGCTCCCGAATCCACACAGACCTTGGAAGACGCAAAATCCCGTCAGCCGGTCCCCCTTCAACCGGTCCCGGTGTAAGCGGAGGTTCGAGAACATCCACTGCCCGCGCGACAGGTTGAGGGGGGGGCTGAGCCGGTCCACACCTATGCGTCCCCGACGCACACGCACAAGGGGATTGTTGCGGCAACCTGGACAGTGCGTCCGCGTTAGCGTGACGCACACCCTTCCGATGGTGAATTTGGAGGGAGAATTCTTGCAACGTGTCCAGCCATCTCGCCAATTGTCCGGATGGCTGGTCCATCTTAAGAGCGTACTGCAAGGCCGCATGGTCCGTTCGGACAATAAACGACCGACCGTACAGATACGGTCGAAATTGGCGGAGAAAATACACAATAGCCAAAAGTTCCCTGCGAGTGACGCAGTAACGAGTTTCCGCGGGAGACAAAACCCGACTCCCGTACGCCACCACACGCTCAACACCACCTTTTGACTGGGACAACACCGCCCCAATCCCGGTGCCACTCGCATCAGTATCCAGAATGAAGGGATGTTCAAAATCCGGATAATCCAACGTCGGCGCAGTAGCCAGTAGGTCGCGCAGGCTCCGAAACGCCGCCTCCTCCGGCGGTCCCCACACAAATTTGTGCCCCTTCCCAGTAAGGAGATGCAAAGGCCTGGCGATAGTAGCGAAATTCGGAACAAACCTCCGGTAATATGAGGCGAACCCCAAAAACCGACGCACATCACCCACCGTGGCGGGGGTTGCCCAATCCCGGACACACGCAGTTTTCTCTGGATCCGTGGCCACCCCGTCCGCACTAACAATATGTCCCAAGTATCGAACGGAACGTTGCAGTAGATGACATTTCTTAGGCTTGAATTTCAAATTAGCAGAACGCATTCTGGCAAAAACGGCCTCCAACCGCAATAAATGCTCATCAAATGTGCGGCTGAAGACAATAATATCATCTAAATAAATGAGACATGTCTCCCACTGCAACCCCGTCAATACCAACTCCATCAATCTCTGAAGGGTGGCAGGGGCTGCATTCAACCCCATCGGCAGACAGTTAAATTGGAACAACCCCTGCGGCGTACGGAACGCTGTCTTTTCCCGCGAGGGCTCGTCAAGGGGAAGCTGCCAGAAGCCCGAAGAGAGATCTAGCGTTGAAAAAAACTTAGCCCCTGACAAGGCGTCGAGAGAATCGTCCATACGCGGCAGGGGATACGCATCTGCCACCGACACTTTATTTAACTTCCGAAAATCCACACAAAATCGTAATTTACCATCTTTCTTTTTAACCAACACGACAGGCGCACCCCACGGGCTATTAGACGGAGATATAATATCCGCTTTCAACATGTCTTCCACTGCCCCTCGAACGTGCTCACGCTCAGCCGGACACATCCGACGCGAGTTCAAGCGGATAGGGGCCGCGTCCCCCGTTTCGATGTGATGAGAGAGCAGCGAGGTGCGTCCCAAGTCCAAATCGTCCGAGCTAAACACATCGGAATAGCTCGCTAATAATTTATGAATCGCACAACGCTGCTCAGCGGAAAGGGCCGAATTTTCCGCACATAATTCGGCGATCCAACGATCGTCCACCCCTCCGTCGTGTGAAACACCACCCACCAGCCCCCCGTCCGGAATGTCACTCTGAGCCGTAAACGCCGTAGTGGCGTGTGCCACAACGGTACCAGCCGGCACACACACGCTTTCAGAAGTCGCATTTAACACCTGCAAAAACGGGCGCTGATCCGGACGGACAATGGTTTGCGCCCCCACCAGTGCCAATCCGCCCGTAACAGCGGCGGACGGCGACAGCAAAATTCCACAAGCACTCTGCCGACCCGGAACCGGCTTCCGGTATCGTAGGGGAATGAGCATCTGCGAGCCAGGTGGAATATCAACTGAAACTTCCGATAACGCCTGCACCTGGGCAACCGGAGCCGGTCGCCCCCAGGTGGACTGTAAAAACGCCAATTTGCGGCCCCCTGGCAGTTCAATGCAATTTTCATTGATTCTAATTAAAATGGGCATCTTAGCCAAAAAATCCGTGCCCAACAAGCAAGGAACCGCCAGGGACCTCGAAATTAACACAACGCCCGAGGCCGAGACCCCCCCGATAGAAATATTAGCGTCCACCTGTCCCACGATGCCCATACTACCCCCGTTCGCAGCGATGCAGGAAGCGTAAGCCGGCCTCACGGCCCCCGGTGGGATGTTCAAAAGATGGAATATGACATCCGAAATAATGGTCGCGGACGCCCCGGAATCCACCAAAATACGCACGTCCACCCCTTGGATCGACCCCGGTACAGTGGACGAACCTGTAGCGGCCGCGACAACCCGCCGAGCCAACTTACGCCACTGCGTTATCGAGCGACAAGGCGCAGATACTGGCCTCCCATATTTTAGAACATCCGCGTCGCACAACAACGGCGATGAGTGAGGTGTCAGGCCTTGCCGGGTGTCTGGTGCGCACCGACTTGCCTGTGCCGGAGGGTCTTTCTTTGGGACGTCCGCGATCGAGGCCTCCTGCTGGGGCGGCCCCGGAACCCGGGCCCAGCAGTCCCTGGCATAATGGCCCCGACGGCCGCAGCGGAAACAGTCGACGTCGGGTCGGCGCGCAGCAGGCACCCCGTCCCGACGTGGCCGCGCCGGCGGCGGAGCCCGCGGCCCCGGCTCGCTTCGAGCCGGCCACGGAGTGGAGGCGGCCGACAGCTCCTTTGGGCCGGTCGCATCCGGCACGTACACGGCCTTTGCAGGGTCCCACCCTACGGCCCCCCCATCGACGACAGGACCGCCCGTCCACGCCGTGACTTGTTTCCAGCGGCGGAGATTGAACTGGGCGTCCAAACACTTAGCCGCGGTCCGGGACGTGAGTTTCTCGTGACCGCAAGCCGGCATAGGAATGCCCAGATCCCGGGATAACTCCAACATCTTCCCCAAGATGAGAGGTTCCAGCAGGTCAGGCTCCGTCTCCGGGTAAGCGGCCATCGCGAGTTCCAGCACGGCGCCCCTGTACGCTACAGGCGACTCCTCCGGTGCGCGTTGCCGCTGCACGAAGCGGCGATGGGCGTCATCCGGTGGCTCGTACGCGTCCGCCATTTCGTCGAACACTCCACGCAATGTTTTCTTCTTCGCAGCTTTTATAGAGCGAAAAAAACGAACAGACTCATCGTCAAGGAGAGTCGGAAGCACCTCCAGCGCCTCGGCGTCCGTCCACCTTGCCGTTCGTACCGCCGCCAAAAATCGACAAGCGAACGCACTCCAATCGCACCCGATGGAGAACTCCTTAACAGTTGTAAGGTGACGACTGCGGCTCCTTGGCCTGCTTCCGTCCGTCACCGACTCTTCCGGCAGCAAGTTCAGCAAGGCGTCGCAACGCGGTGTCGCCAAGATGGCGGACGATCTTCGTGGCGGCCCCAAGATGGCGGCTTCCCGCCTTCCGTGGTGCGCCACGCCCAAGATGGCGTCTTCACGCCGCGTGGTCGATGGCGGCGCCATCGAAGACGACCCGGGCTCCTGCCAATCACCACCATCACCTTCCAACGCCGCCCTTGGCGTGACAAGGTCACACAACTCCGTGATGACGGTTTTTAGGGTCGCCAGTTGCTCCGCCATCCGGGTCCATCTTAAATCTTCGTCCTTCAACGCAGATGGGTCGGGCGCAGCGGCAACCTCCTCCACACCCGGGCCCTCACGGATCTCTCCCTCCGCCGAAGTGAAGCCGACCTCAGGAGGAAGATCGTCGTCGTCCGATGATGAAGCCGACGCCGGAGATGGGATATTCTTCTTCCTCAGTTGTTTCGCCATGCCGTTTCACTTCTGACTCCAGTGTAATAAAAGGACTCGAACACTTCTTTCTGTCTTCGTGTCTTTATTCAGGTTCACGTCTTTACCCACACGGCACTCTGTTATAACTCCTGTATTTGTAGCCCCCGGCTATTCACTGCTATTATAGCTTCCTCACCCCTCTGACTCTCTGCTTCATCTACTGTAACCTTCTCCCTGCAGACTCGCTGCTACCCCTATGTGCAGACCCTCTGGCTGTCACTGTATGCAGACCCGCTGCCCACTCTTTCTGTGCAGCCCCGCTGCTGACTGCAGCCTCCTTGCTGCTTCGGGTCGGTCACCGCTGGCCAACGGTGCCGATCCTCGCTTCCCCCGTGTTCGTGGCGATCTCGCCACACCCCGCTTCGCCCTACGTGGCCTTCCTCTGTTCCTGGCTCCCAGTCACTCCCCCTGCTCTTCCGGTTCCCCTCCTTCTATACTCAACCCCTCTCCCCCCACGTGACCTAACTCCTCCCCCCCTGACGGCACCTCAGAAGGGCCGTTTACAACCGCATTACACAAGCTTCCGTCTTCAGGTGGAACCGTCACAGCCTGCTTGCTGTACTTGATACAAGCGTGCTGTGACAAGCGTGCTGTGACGGTTCCACCTGAAGACGGAAGCTTGTGTTGCCTCCGAAACGTCGTGATTTTTATTTTACTTTTATTAAAAAAAATTTACCTACGTGACTTTACCGAAAAACCTAAGAGTACAAATATCAAACTCCAGACCTATTACGACCGACAGCGTCTCATCGGCATAGCAGGCCCGCCCTGCCGCACCAAAGCTGCTAGAATTCCAGATCGATGTCCACGGGCCAGAAGCGAGATGTTAACTGCCTCGCCTGGTATGCAAGAGGTCGTAGGTTCGATCCCGAGGCCTGACGCCCGTACAATTCGAGTTTGCATGCTCTCCCCGTGGTCGCGTAGATTTTTACCCCCCCCCTCCCCTCCACATTTAGAAACACGCGTTTAGAGTGTTTGGCTGCTATACGTTTCCACATGACAAGCCACTTCGTCGAACTGTATAATTGGTGATGACCATGTTGCTTCTGAAAAACAGCTACAGAGCTCAGTGGGTCTCACTTGGAGACATTAAAAGAGTTTAGTTTTAGTTCACTTTAATCCGCGAATCACGAAGGTTCTCGTATCAGCAAGGGGCCCTCTCACCAGAGAACGCGTGCCGCTGGCTGCTTCTCTCTCTCTGTCTCTCTCCTCTCTTGCGCCGGGCGTCGCCGCCGCTATTTAACGCACTCGGTTGGCGTCAACTCCTTCCAAAGTCAACATCACAGCAGCCGGAGGATGGCCTTGGTCGGGGGAGAGAGGGGTGGGGTGGACATTGAGAGGCGTTTACGGGAAAATTGCACGTGATGTGGGATTTCCCACTGCCATCTCAAAGCGAGCGCCGCGCGTCAGCGCACGTGTGCGTGCGGGCACGTGGCCCGGGTTGCGCGTGTTTTGTGTGTCCTGGACAATCTCGCGCAAATATTGCCTTAGCTGTCTCATTCTCTGGAAGTTTAGCTATTTGTCTGTGTGTGTGTGGGCGTGTATGTGTTTTATTTCTGATTCTTGACCGGGCGTGATGCTGCCCCCCCCCCTCCTACTCCCTCGTGTGCCGTGCATACCTTCATTGCTACTCGTTAGCAGGACTTTCACGAAGCGTCTGCTGAGGTTTAGCCGGTGGGGGGGGCGGGGCGGGGGGTCATTGTTTTTGTACATATTGTGGGGAGCGGTGTCGCTGTGGTTAGCGCACTGTGTTACGAACCTGATTTAGATTCCCGCTCACGACCGATAACTGTGGCGAATATTTTAACCGTTCTCGGGCCTCCCTTAGGTCGACTCAGCCTCAAATGAGTATCTGGTGCAATGGGATAACATCAGTACTGGGGAGACAAAGGCGGCCGGGCGTGGTGTTGGCCACCTACCCCATTTCGTGCCGTGCAGGCCTCCATAGGTGCTCGTTAACAGAACTTCCAACAGTCTGTTTAAGACTATATGGACATCTTTGTACATATTGATACGAGTGTAGTGTCCACGATTCAGAGACAGTGTCTAGGAGGCAACTTTCACGGTCTCATTCACACACTCTCCACAGTAGCCTGTACACAACACCAGCTGTCTAACACTGACGCCGCTGACCAGCCATCTACTATGCTAAGTAGCGCAATATCTAGCGGCGACGATGGCGACGAGACGAGTCCATTCCCAGAACCGGCAGCCTGGAGCTCCTCGCTCCCGGCTCCTTTTATGCTCCCCAGCGCGGCCTGGCTCCGCCCTGACCGTGCCTCCCTTATCGAACCCGCTAGCAGGTTCCAGGGGCCTCCAGACGGGGTCCTCCGTGACGCTTACCCTGGATCCCCTCTCTGCCAGCACACCGTGCACACCCTCACCCGCGTGTGCGCTGTTTGGCCACCAGGTGGCGCTATTACACTACACACGCATGCTAATCGGTTGTGAGGTATGGCAACGGCTTGGAGAGTCCATCATCCAGCAGTGGGTAGATCGATGTGTGACGATGTCTCGAGAGAGATTGAACGCTGATGTTGATGATGATGGGTGTGACGGCCATGCAAGGGCGGGTTGCTATCGGCTGCTGTGGGTCTACGTGGCGGGAACAGCAGGGGGCGGTGCAGCGAATTCAATCGCTGCACTAAACTTCTGTGCGCACACGACGTCACGTGCTCCCCACCCTCACCAAACCCGCAGTGACCAACGTGGTGAAGTATGGTCAAATAACGACCCCTGACGGCGTGGTGGTGGGATGGATGGTGCTCATCATCCAGCAGTGGATTAGGGCAGTGACGTGTGACACGTCATGCACACTAAGTGCACACTATATATATATTTCCACGCAAGAACATTTCACAACACAAACGAGACCCCGAAAAAAAAACCCAATTCTGGAGATGAATCTGGCCCCCCCCGCGTGGCCGCGCGGCTGGGATGAGATTGGTCACGCGGCTGCCGACGCCGCCACTGTGCGGCGCGCGCGCGTGCCTGTGACGGGGTGCGAACCCTCGTCCCGTGGTAACCGACTCAGCGGGGCTCTCTCTCTCCTCTCTTGTGTTGTTTGACTTTGGCGACCCCACCCCACCCTCCCCCGACGGGGCCGGATCCGGGATGAGAGGAGAGAGCAGAGAAGGGGGTAGGGGGGAGTGGGAAGAGGGGATCATTTTGATAGAGGGAACGGGAGAGAACGGGCTCGCAGGAAATAGATAATTCTCGACTCAAGTTGTGCTCTTGCATGGGTTTAAAGAAAGGTTTCAAGTTTATTTTATTTAACCAGATGGGATGAACCAAAGAGACCAGGATGAGGTCTAATTTGGACGAGTGACCTTGGTAGAGAATCGTCGATCTCTCTATTCTCTCGTCTCGGAGCATGAACCGTCACGTGAACTCCGGTCATCCTCGTAGCGGCTTTTGGCTCACCATCGAACAAAAACGGTCACTGTATTGCGCTTTTAGAAGCGCCGTTGTGGCCGTCTGGAACGCTCCTGCTTCCGATATTAGGAAGCCACTGGAGCTATACACCTCGAAATCTAGATTGAAAACTCATTTATTTAGAACTGCATCATGTGTTTTAGTTTATTGTCCTTCCCCCGCACCACCGATTCACACGGCTGGCCACGTACTGTGCGAAAGAAGTTCAACACAGTGCAGACATAGAACAGGAACAGGGTGAAACATCGCCAGAGATGGAGGAGCTAAGAGGGAGGAAACTAACCAGAGATGGAGGGAGAGAGTGGAAGAGAGTTGGAAAAACAGAGAAAATCGAGAGCTAATATTTGGTGGCATTTTGATATCGTCGATAAGAGGAATAAACAGAGCAGCTGGACGGATTTTCCGCGGTGACTCAACTGAGTTAGAGGAGAGGGTGATGGAGAGGTGGGATGAGACAGAGGAGATGGGAGAGAAGGAGGAGAGAGACGAGAGGCAAAGAAGGGGAATGAGAGGGATAAAGAAGAGAGAGAGAGACAGTGGGATCTTAACAGTCTAACGCGATTAGAGCGAGACCACGGTAGCTATGAGCGTCGCGATTAGAGACGAGATGCGTGTTGGTGGGTATGTGTGCGAGTGTGTGGGTGGGTGGGTATGTGTGGGAGTGTGTGAGCGAGTGGATTTGTGTGCGAGTGTGTGGGTGGGTATGTGTGGGAGTGTGTGGGTGGGTGGGTTTGTGTGGGAGCGTGTGGGTGGGTGGGTATGTGTGGGGCCAACACCAGTGACGATTATCTGAGCCGGTCATGGGCCTCCCCTAGGTCGACTCAGCCTCAAATTAGTACCGAGTGCGGTGTGTAATAATCGCCACTGGGGAGACAAAGGCGGCCGGGCCTGGTGTTGGTCACCCACCCCCTCGTGTGCTGTTCCGGACTTTATAGATGCTCGTAACAGTACTTGCCCCAAAATAATGTTAAGGCTATACGGGGGATCTTTGTCTTTGTATGTGTGGGTGGATTGTTGTGGGTGGGTGGGTATGTGTGGGAGTGTGTGGGTGGGTGGGTATGTGTGGGTGCGTGTGTGTGTGTGGGAGCGTACACGACATTCGCTGTTTTCACTCACAGACAACCTCACACTCGCTGGTGAAAAGAGAAATCCAGAATCCGAAAGATAAACATCCGTTCTCTCCCTCTCACACACAAACACACCACACACACAAACACACACAAGACAAAGATGCCCGTATAGCCTTTTGACAGACTGTTGGAAAAAGTGCTGTCAGCACTTTTGTTCGCTCCTCGCTGTTAGCGAGCACCTATGAAGGCCGGGCACGACACTGTCTCCCCAGTGCTGAAGTTTACACACAACACCAGGTACACACACAACACCAGGCACACACACTACACCAGGTACACACACTACACCAGGTACACACACTACACCAGGTGCACACACAACACCAGGCACGCACACTACACCAGGTGCACACACAACACCAGGTACGCACACTACACCAGGTGCACACACTACACCAGGTATACACTACACCAGGTGCACACACTACACCAGGCGCACACACTACACCAGGTACACACACTACACCAGGTACACACACTACACCAGGCATACACACTACACCAGGTACACACACTACACCAGGCACACACACTACACCAGGTACACACACTACACCAGGTACACACACTACACCACGCACACACACTACACCAGGTATACACTACACCAGGCACACACACTACACCAGGTGCACACACTACACCAGGTACACACACAACACCAGGCACACACACTACACCAGGTACACACACTACACCAGGTACACACACAACACCAGGTACACACTACACCAGGTACACACACTACACCAGGCACACACACTACACCAGGTACACACACTACACCAGGTGCACATACACTACACCAGGTACACACACAACACCAGGCACACACACTACACCAGGTACACACACTACACCAGGCACACACACAACACCAGGTACACACACTACACCAGGTACACACACAACACCAGGTGCACACACAACACCAGGCACGCACACTACACCAGGTGCACACACAACACCAGGTACGCACACTACACCAGGTGCACACACTACACCAGGTATACACTACACCAGGTGCACACACTACACCAGGCGCACACACAACACCAGGTACACACACTACACCAGGTACACACACTACACCAGGTACACACACTACACCAGGCATACACACTACACCAGGTACACACACTACACCAGGCACACACACTACACCAGGTACACACACTACACCAGGTATACACACTACACCAGGCACACACACTACACCAGGTATACACTACACCAGGCACACACACTACACCAGGTGCACACACTACACCAGGTACACACACAACACCAGGCACACACACTACACCAGGTACACACACTACACCAGGTACACACACAACACCAGGTACACACTACACCAGGTACACACACTACACCAGGCACACACACTACACCAGGTACACACACTACACCAGGTGCACATACACTACACCAGGTACACACACAACACCAGGCACACACACTACACCAGGTACACACACTACACCAGGTACACACACAACACCAGGTACACACTACACCAGGTACACACACTACACCAGGCACACACACTACACCAGGTACACACACTACACCAGGTGCACATACACTACACCAGGTACACACACTACACCAGGTACACACACTACACCAGGTACACACACTACACCAGGCACACACACTACACCAGGTACACACACTACACCAGGTGCACACACTACACCAGGTACACACACTACACCAGGTACACACACTACACCAGGTACACACACTACACCAGGTACACACACAACACCAGGTACACACTACACCAGGTACACACACTACACCAGGCACACACACTACACCAGGTACACACACTACACCAGGTACACACATTACACCAGGTACTCATGAGTCCACCGCCCAGGTGCACCGCACGGCCGGACACGCAAACACACCACAAACGATCCCACACACTACCGGCCAGATCTCTATGTAACACGATTTTTGTTCTTGGGTAGTAAGTGTTATTTTCTAATTGCTTATGCCTGAAACGTGTAGAAAATGGATATTATTCCCCAGAAACTTTGCCTTTGTGACCAGGACTTTACGTGACACAAATACACACGCGTTCTCGTTGAAAATATGTACATTTCAAAATAGCGCTGTCCTGGTCACAAAAGCAAAGTTTGTGGGGAATAATAGCCATTTTCTGTGCTTTTGAGGCATAAACAATTAGGAAATAACACTTACTATCCGGGAACAAAAACATGTGTTTGTTGTACAGTGATAATCAGCCACGATCTATATCAACGGTCGGGAGCCTATGGCTCGCGAGCCATATATGGCTCTTCTGGTGACGGCATATGGCTCCCAGACAATTGTGAGTTGAAAAAAATAAAAATAAATCAGTTTGGAACTGATTTTAAGATACTTGTGATATTGCTTAATAATACCGTGTCATTTTAAAGTAAACAGAAATTAGTTTTGAAGATAAATTTCACGGGTCACGGGTCACGCCTGCATGAAGCTCAGCCTCACCACGTGAGAACCAGACTACAAGGCCATCAGCAAAACCATGCAGCACCAGAAGTTGCATTAAAAGTAAGACATATTTAATTTATTATACGTTAAAAATACGTAAAAAAAATAATAATAATACTATATGGCTCTCAATGCAATATATTTAGAAATATTTGGCTTTTATGGCTTTCCCAGTCAAAAAGGTTCCCGACCCTTGATCTATATCAACCGTTGGACGAAGCCCTCCCAAAACTGTCGCCTGTCACAATCCTTGCCACTCCCGCACCATGGGAACAGTCTCCATTGCTCCTTCACTCCTTCATTAGTCTCGACCACATTCTAGCGATGTGTCCTGCCCCAAGCGAACGCTCACTTCCCTTAACCCCCCCCCCCCATCACGAGGTCTCCAATCCATGCGTTCCTCATTGCGTCTCTCAGTGTCATTCCCAGCACGAATCGCTCGCAATCTTCTTCGCACACTTTTCAGCCTTTGTTATGTTTTTTTCTCTGTCGGTGAAACTGTTTGCGATCCGTAAGCAATCACAAACAACACGACACATTTGCCAACAACATTGTGGCCTTAAACGGAATGTATAACAGGCGACGTTTCAGACTATTATCCGTTTCATGCAACAAATGCAACAGCAGAAATAGATGCACTGGTTGAAAACTTTCTTCTTTAAACAAGTTGGTCGTGTTGTGCTTTTCATTAATCCAATTGTAAAAAAAAAAGAAATCGCTCTAAACCTCGGCCATCTCATTAGATCCCGATCCGCCTTGAATCATTTCCATAGATACGAATCACGGCAGTGTCCTCCAGTTGCGTTCCTTCCACAACATATTATATTTGATTAAGAGTTATCCAAATACATGCCGGTGTTGTGCTCGTACATAAATACTGCTGCTGGTCCTCACGCATCCCAGCAGTCAATGTGTGCCCAGACCTGATCTCACTTTTGGTACACCTAGGGTGGCACAACGGTCATGGTTCCACTTTCTTGGTGTGACCAATGACAGTGAATCGCGTGATAACCATCGCAAATGAGTGTGTCATCTAATCGTTTACTCTTATTAGCCATATAAATGCGTCGGTGCTACGAAACCTTGGCGACCTTTAGTGGTGCCAATGTTTTCTCTGACCCATAGACCAGTAAGGTACTAACTTAAGGCTGAGTCAACCTAGGGGAGGGACGAGTTCAGGATAAGACACCGCTCGCTGTCAGTTGTTGCCTGGAATTACAATCAGGTAGCCTGCCTGGTTCGTAGCGCCGTGCGTTCACCACTGCGACATCGCTCCTCTGCATACACGCGTAAACAAAGACACAAAATCCACCGTGTAGCCTTAACAGACTGCAGGGGCAAGTGCTGTTAGCGAGCACCTATGAAGACCGACACGGTACGCGAGGGGGTGGGTGGCCAGCACCACGCCCGACCGCCTTTGTCTCCCCAGTAGCGGTGTTTTTACACACCGAACCAGGTACACATTTGCGACTGAGTCGACCTCGAGGGGAGGCCCAGGACCGGTTCAGATAATCGTCACTGGTGGTGTTGGCCGTGAGCGGGAATCGAACTCCGGTCGCCGAGTTCGTAGCGCGGCGTAGAGCGAACCACAGCGCCACCGCTCCCCACACTCTCACACACAGCCACACACACCGCTCCCTCCCTGACACGCACACACACACACACCCCATCGCCGCTCACGCATGCCTACACACACACACACACATTCTCCAACGCGAGCACACGCATGCGCTTCGTCGGTGGAATGGCATTTTTCGTAAGTCTTGCTGCAACTTCATCAAACATTCCGCACTTTGGTTTTCCCCAACTCATAAATTCGTGGGGTGTGGAATATAATAACCGCGCGTGTGATGTTGACGCGCGTGTGATGTTGACGTGCCGTACGCTGGTTCAGAACGTCGTGTGCTCGTGCCTGAACCGTCGGCTCGCACGAGATTTGTGGATGTTGGCGACTCGGCTTGTGTAACCTGTGTTGCCTCCGAAACGTCGTGATTTTTATTTTATTTTACTTTTATTAATTAAAATTTTTTACCTACGTGACTTTACCGAAAAAAACCTAAGAATATGAATCCTTGCAGTCACGAAAGCTTCAAATCTAGAATTGTGTAACCTGCTCTGTTTGGTATTTCCTCCAATCGGTGTCAACACGTACATGGCAAGCAGACTCGGACATTTCATACGCCGAGTTGAAACGGTGGCGTTTGTAAAATGTACTGCTTTTCATTTGACCCGTCGTGTAAAGTGCAGTCTTCAACTGTTGTCTTCAGATTAAAATTTTGATTTAAAGCTTTCGTGACTGCAGGGATTCATCTTCTTGGTTCTTTCGGTGAAGTCACGTAGAAGGGAAGTAATAAAATAATAAAAATAAAACATAATAAAATTATTGTTGTCTTCAGAATCGCTCTGGCTTCTCGAATTGCGAGTTATGAAGAAGGAACATTTTGCCCACAATGTCGCATATTTCAGATGTTTCCGTTTAAGGCCACGGTGTTATTGATGAATGTGTCGAGGTTTAAAAAAGCTATTTGATTAACACCAGAAAAGTGTGCATAGTCTTTAAATCCATATGAAGTGCAAGTCGGGGTGGAGTGGTGGCGCAGTGATTAGCGCATTGCGCTATTTACCCGGTGCCTTCAGTTCAATTCGCGAGTGCACGGCGAACATTGACTTCTGAACTGGTCTTGAGATTCCCAATTGACAAACCCGCACCGACCATCGTGGTGAAGTATGGTCACGCAATTCCCTATGATTGACGTGCAGCAGTAGCAGCATCACGTGCCCCTCTGCCTGTGAGTGAGTTGTCACGGGGCCGCGGTGTTTCTATCCCTGCACGGTGACCAGTGACGGACTTCTCGTGCCCTCGCGATGTTAATATTTGGCATCAGCTCCCTTCAAACAACCCCCCACACACAATCGTTCGCGTAGGCTTGGGTAAACAAACCCAAAAAAAAAAACCTTAAAAGTTAAAGATTTTTGTCGCATATATTTTTCGAGCCCAAATTTCAAACATTTCGGACGTATGCTTTATATAAGTATCAGCATTGCCTCGTGTAAAATGTCTGCCTTTTAAGCCCTTCTAGAACATTATGATGTTACTCAACTCAGTAATGATTCGTCTCTAGCTATACGTATAGGGCACCAGCCACACGTCCAAACACAACGATAATTGCCAAACGCGTCCGTTCTTGTGTATCAATGCCGTGCAGATCGTGGGGTCTATTTGACCATACTTCACACTGGTCATTCCGGGTTGGTAAAATATTTTTTTGTCTCACCCACCCCCTCCCCCCCAACGTTTGAAATTTGACAAACCTCACCAACTTCATGATTCGTGGCGGAGAGCGGTGGGGCGTGCAGTGGTTCGTGCATTGCGATACAATTGGATGCGATTTGTAACAAAGAATCTGACGCTGTCGATAGCCTCCCCTAGGTTGGCTCAGTCTTAAATGATAAGCTGGTGCGTTGTATAAACACATGCAATTGGGGATACAAAGTCAGTATTGCACTTGTAACTACAACACAGGCGATCGGTCTGCACAAGATATCCTTGTGTTTGTGTGGGAGTTCAACCCGCAGCAGGCAGGAGGAGAGAGACAGCGTGTTGTGGGGGCACGCTGGCTGTGGGCACAGCTCTTGCTGCTGCTGCTACTGCTGCAGCTGTTGCCCTCCGCGCTCGCCTTCTCACGTGGAGCTGACCCTGCTGCCTGCCTGGATGGGAGGCCTCGACACGTCGGGGCGCGGACCCAGCCTCCCGGCACCGCGGCCGCTCGAATCGTCCTGGGCAAGGCGCGGTACCGGCCCGGGGAACACGTGCCGGGTGGGGGCAGACGAGACGCGTCACTGGGGACACACACACACACACGGGACGGTAACACCACGTGGGACTACGTGTGCAGACACACACCTGGCGCCACGTGGTCAGACACGTCCGAAGTCACGTGAGCATACACACCTCGGCTCAGGTTGTCGTTCACACCTGGCGACACACACTCAGAGAAAGACACATCGAGAGACACGCAGGGCTACACACCCGGAGAGATGAAAACAATCTCCTAGCACCACTAAGTGCTGGTGACGGCAACACGGCGCTTTTGTCAGGCTAGGTGCACCTTGAGCCCATATGAAGTATCAAGAGCTCACTGCCGTGATGCCACGGGACACGGTCAGGTGTAATGGGTTAACCGATGGAGAGGACTGGCAGATGTACCATCTGCGCTCCTCACCGTACCAAATTCCTGGATTGTGTGCACAGAAACACACATGGTGACAGGCACAACGTGGTTGCACACACACACATACACCTTGGGAGAAAGACCTTAAGACACAAATGGTGGAACGCCGGGGCACAAGTGGTCAATGACACATTCGGAGATGGTACGCATGGAAACACACACACAACACGTAGGGAGACACACCCGGCGAGAGCGTTGGCCACATAGGTACCTGGTGAGACATAGTCCAAGCCCACCGGCCGAGACACACCTGGAGCGAGACAGTGCCTCAAGACGACGATTCTAAAGACCGCCTGCTCCATCGTGGCTCAAGTCCCCCTTGTCTCCGCTCGTTGCCCCACTCAGTGATCATTAGGAGCTCGCGGGACTTCATGGGGTTCTTGTTGCAGGCGAGGAGCGTCCCCACGCCCCGTGTGTCTGGAGACAGGTCAGTTGCCCCGTGACCCGAAGCTGCTTGGCATGGACATGTACTCTAACACCAGCCCCTTAGCACGCTCGCAAACCAGACACTACTAACACCAGCCCTGTCCCTGACCCTAACCCCATCCCCTTAGCACACTCGCCCACCAGACACTACTACCACCAGCCCTATCACTGACCCTAACCCTATCCCCTTAGCACACTCGCCCACCAGACACTACTACCACCAGCCCTATCACTGACCCTAACCCTATCCCCTTAGCACACTCGCCCACCAGACACTACTACCACCAGCCCTATCACTGACCCCCAACCATCCTCTGGTGCCCTCTCCCCGTCTCTGGCGCTGTCCGCTTGTCCCAGCGGCCCGGGAGACGTGCGCTTGGTGGGGACGTTCACGCACCGCCCAGCGGGGACGCATCTCCTGCGCTGCCCCGCGTGGGGGCAGCCCCCGGGAGACGGGGGGCAGCCGCAGCTGGCGCAGGGCGGAGCGAGCGTCACGCACACGGACAAGTCGCTCAAGCGGAACCTGTCGTTCGTGTGGCGAGCGCCCGTGGACGGCGCACACGGAGACGTGAGGTTCATGTGAGAGACGGGCATGAGACGGGGATGGACCGTGGGTCACAGTCGTCGGTGGTGTCACATCCACGTGGACAAACGCAATGATACACGATAGCTGTGTACTTGATACACGATAGCTGTATACTTGATACACGATAGCTGTATACTTGATACACGATAGCTGTATACTTGATACACGATAGCTGTATACTTGATACACAATAGCTGTGTACTTGATACACGATAGCTGTATACTTGATACAGCAATCGTGCTGTGACGGTTCCACCTGAAGACGGAAGCTTGTGTTGACTCTGAAACGTCGTGAGTTGTCATTTTACTTTCATTAATTTTTATTTTATTTTTTTACCTACGTGACTTTACCGAAAAAACCTAAGATTATGAATCCTTGCAGTCACGAAAGCTTCAAATCTAGAAGAAATGATATTCGGCGTTGTTTAAATACGGAATGAATGACCCCTGTCGTTTGTTGTGTCGATATTTTTTGGAGGAACATCGCCATTCCATTGTGGTACTGTTGGGAAAAAAATAAATCTACGTTGACGTCTCTATGCACTGTGCAATCAAGCCGTGCCGAGGCCGTGCTGAGCCGACCCTTGCCCGATTTTCGAGGCGCCAGATCGATGTTTTTCCACCGCAGTAGCCGAACATTGCCACCGACGCCACACGGAATTAAATATCCGACACGGTGGCGCTGTGTCATCACAATGCACTGACCGATGTTACATGCAATGAACGCGTCATTAACCCTGTGCATGGCCCTGCTTGGCCCGCAGACGGTTTCAGATGTATTGTGAGGCCAGTATATCATGGTTTCGTTCTGACTCGGCACGAGAAATAGCCGGTGGAAAAACCACCCGTGCTGCGAAGACACCAGCAGCCTCGATTGTGCCAGTTGCAAAGGGGTTACTGTTAAAACTGCCCCACTATCGGCAGATGAACGGAACAGGGATACGAAAATGTAAGGAGAAGAGTTGGCGGAGCTTGGAATCGGCAGAATCCCATGTTCTCATAGTTTAACCTGCTCAATCGAAATCCATGCCATCGCCAATCAGGTGGACGGTTAAGGGCGGGGTGCATTGGGCTGTCATTTGTCGCTAATGTTATAGAACTATGGAAGCAAACATTGCACATGGGCATCAGAATCATGCCGCATTTGCCACATTTTTTTTTTAATTTAAAACCGAGTTTACACTGATATAAGATAGAGACGTGTTCAGAGTTTCTTGACATAGTGATTCACCTTCATCATCATTATCTTCGTGTCTTGTACTCTCGGCTCACTCTGCTTCCCCGCACGTCTGTCTGGCAGGGCCTCTATTGTGCAGTCCTACTTCGTGTTTTGGTCCGACGTGGAGTCGCCCATCCTGCGCGCTCACCACGACCCCAGCGGCGACGACAGCGTCCAAAACGAGATCGACCTCGCTGCTGATGATGGCGGAGGTGACGGGAAAGGTGATGGTGAAGCCGATGATGGTGATGATTACACTCTGTTAAGAGGAACCACCAACGCGTCGTCACTACCCGTCCACCAAGACCTCCAAGCCTCTTCGACTCCCACCCAACGATGGGGAGAGGAGGCGAAGACCGCAGCTACAGTGACAATGACTACGATGATGATGATGGTGACGACACTGATGATGACTTCTCCGTCAACCACTGCGGAAGTCAGTGAAGACTCGCCCCGTGCAGTCATTGAACTCGTCACCCACAAGCTGGGCGAGGCAACTCAGACTGCAGACGTCGCGGAGCAGGGAGCTGCAGGAGGTGGTCGAGTTGAAGGTGGACATCTCCAGGAGGTGCCCACCTTGGCGTGGAGTGATGATGAGTTCACGAGTGGTGAAACTCCAGGAGGTTTGACCACGGGTGGAACGTGGCCAATGGAAAAGTCTACCGTGTGGATATCGACACGGCCAGCGTCATCCCCATCATCAGCAGCAGAAATTGAAGCAGCAACAGTAGCTGCATCATTATCAGAAGTAACAATAACATCGCCAGCAGCAGCGACAACATCATCATTAACATCATCAGCAGAAGTAACAGAAGTATCATCACCATCATCTTCTTCTCTATCAGCAACATCAACGATGTCTTGGTCCATTTTACCAGACAGTTCACCGTCAGCATCGACAGAGTTAATATTGCCAAAAGAAGGCATGCCACAGGTAAGAGCTCACAATAACGCTGATGTGAACTCAGTAACAGGACCACATGGACAGAGAGTGACAATTGCAAATACCCTAACAGCCAGCGTGATGAATAACAACAGCTTGTCGACTACTGCATCAGCAGTAACACAAGTCACAGAAAACACTAATGATCATGAACTAGCCGCTGGTGGTGGTCATGGTGATGATTTGGGTGGTGGTGGTGGCAGTGCTAGCGATGATGATGATGATGCTTTGAGTGAAGCGCATGAACACTCTAGGGAAGGTGGAAGAGGGGATGGAGCTCCGGAGAATGAGGATGATGGCATCGGAAGAGGGGACGAGGAGGATGTTTCCATCCCCTTCAATGTTGATGTCTACGACCACCGTGGCGACATTGACAGCGGTGGTCGCAGCAATGCATATGGAGACGCCAAAGTGGTGGGCCGTGGTGAAGATGGTAGTGATGGTGACATTGATGTTGGTGATGATGGAGACACTCTGCCCCATCCTCAAGGCAATAACGAGGCGGCAAGGGGTGATGACTCTCCTAATAACCCTAATGACATCAACACCACAGAATCAAGGGATGGAGAGGCAGATGGAGCTGCTGGAGCTGCTATAGCTACTGGAAGTGGTAATGGAGCTGCTGCAGGTCATGGTGGAGCTACTGTAGACAGTGATGAAGCTGCTGGAGCTGCAGATGGTCGTGGAGCTGCTGGAGTTGGTAATGGGGTTGCTGGAGGTGACGACACCGCTGGAGGTGGTGGCGAAGCTACTGGAGGTGGTGGTGGTGGAGCTGCTGATGGAGGTGGTGGAGCTGCTGATGGAGGTGGTGGAGCTGCTGATGGAGGTGGTGGAGCTGCTGGAGGTGGTGGTGGAGCTACTGGAGGTGGTGGTGGAGCTACTGGAGGTAGTGGTGGAGCTACTGGAGGTGGTGGTGGAGCTGCTGATGGAGGTGGTGGTGGAGCTTCTGGAGGTGGTGGAGCTACTGGAATTGGTGGTGGAGCTCCTGGAGGTGGTGGTGGAGCTCCTGGAGGTGGTGGTGGAGCTACTGGAGGTGGTGGTGGAGCTACTGGAGGTGGTGGTGGAGCTGCTGGAGGTGGTGGTGGAGCTACTGGAGGTGGTGGTGGAGCTACTGGAGGTGGTGGAGCTCCTGGAGGTGGTGGTGGAGCTGCTGGAGGTGGTGGTGGAGCTGCTGGAGGTGGTGGTGGAGCTGCTGGAGGTGGCGAAGCTACTGGAGGTGGTGGTGGAGCTGTTGGAGGTGGTGGTGGAGCTGCTGGAGGTGGTGGAGCTGCTGGAGGTGGTGGTGGAGCTGTTGGAGGTGGTGGTGGAGCTGTTGGAGGTGGTGGAGCTACTGGAGGTGGTGGTGGAGCTACTGGAGGTGGTGGTGGAGCTGCTGGAGGTGGTGGTGGAGCTACTGGAGGTGGTGGTGGAGCTACTGGAGGTGGTGGTGGAGCTGCTGGAGGTGGTGGAGCTGTTGGAGGTGGTGGAGCTGATGGAGGTGGTGGTGGAGCTGATGGAGGTGGTGGTGGAGCTACTGGAGGTGGTGGAGCTGATGGAGGTGGTGGTGGAGCTACTGGAGGTGGTGGTGGAGCTACTGGAGGTGGTGGTGGAGCTGCTGGAGGTGGTGGTGGAGCTACTGGAGGTGGTGGTGGAGCTGCTGGAGGTGGTGGTGGAGCTCCTGGAGGTGGTGGTGGAGCTGCTGGAGGTGGTGGTGGAGCTGCTGGAGGTGGTGGTGGAGCTGCTGGAGGTGGTGGTGGAGCTACTGGAGGTGGTGGTGGAGCTGCTGGAGGTGGTGGTGGAGCTGCTGGAGGTGGTGGTGGAGCTACTGGAGGTGGTGGTGGAGCTGCTGGAGGTGGTGGTGGAGCTACTGGAGGTGGTGGTGGAGCTGCTGGAGGTGGTGGTGGAGCTGCTGGAGGTGGTGGTGGAGCTGCTGGAGGTGGTGGTGGAGCTGCTGGAGGTGGTGGTGGAGCTGCTGGAGGTGGTGGTGGAGCTGCTGGAGGTGGTGGTGGAGCTGCTGATGGAGGTGGTGGAGCGACTGGAGGTGGTGGTGGAGCTGCTGGAATTGGTGGTGGAGCTACTGGAGGTGGTGGTGGAGCTACTAAAGGTGGTGGTGGAGCTGCTGATGGAGGTGGTGGAGCTGCTGGAGCTGCTGATGGAGGTGGAGCTGCTGGCACTGCTGATGGAGGTGGTGGTAGACTTGCTGCAGGTGATGGTGGAGCTGCTGCTGGAGGAGCTACTGGTGGTGGTGCTGGAGGTGACAGAGATGCTGGATCAGCCGTGTCTCCCCCGCATGCCCTGGGAGTCTCGGCCGTCTTGTGTCTCCTCCTCACGCCTCTCGCCATCCTCGTCCTCAGGAGATGTGTACACAGGTGCGGCAATAGCGGTGGGCCAAGATGGTGGCGATGAGGGTGAAGGTTGAAATGTAGTGGTGATGATGATGGTGTGAAGCTGGTGGATGTGGTGACAGTGATGTTCTTTTTTAGTGTGGTTGATGTAGATTCAGAGCAACAACTTCCATCTCACATGCAGGTGGTCAAGCCAGATAATTGATGTTGATTATAATTTATTGTAGTGACTATGACGAAGGCTCATTAACTATTCTGCTTCTTATAGAAGAGTAACTATTGAAGCAAATGTTGGTGATAGCGGTGGTGAGGATTAGTTTTTTTTGCCGTGACAACCCTTACGAGTTGGCTGTCGGGTGGTGGCGGGTTTTAACGACACATTTATTCATTTACGCGATTTAACCACAAAAAAGCCTCTATTATGGATGATATTGGTCGCGTGTTAAACAGGTTTACATTGTTACTCTTGGTTCACGTAGGTATAAAGTAAAAGAAATCACGACGTTTTGGGTGCAACACAAGCGCCCGTCATCAGGTGGGACAGCATGGCCTGCTGCTGAGGCAGACTGTTTGAAAAGGTTTTAAAATTGGGTGTAGCCAAAATACGTGAATTTACCGAAAGAACCAAGACTATGGATTCCTGAAGCCACGAAAGCTTCAAATCAAGCGCGTGTGGTTCAAGTTCAAGTTCATGTATTAGGTATAGCCCTGTGAGCCATTCGGCTCTTGAATCGGGTGCAACCGCAACAAACAAAAACACGAACAAAAAACATCTTAAAGTGAATATGTGACTAAGTGCAAACAGAAAATCCAAGAAAAGACAGCAAAATAGTACACCAACGCTGTGTGCAAACATCCCAGTGGGATGCAAGTCAAACAACAACAACAACAACCACAAGGCAACTTAGATTAAGGCCATCATTCTAACTCTGTACTACAACAAACAAACATGGCTAAACCAATACACTTTTCGAAATCACCAAAATGGTGCTGGTGCCTTCCCCCTCCAGGAGGCGGCGGGTGATGATCGTCACCCTGAGGGTCACGGCCGTGGAGCTGGAGGACAGCCCACGGGGTCCCCGGCGCAAGCGAGGCGGACGAGGAGAGGTCGCGACGGGGTCGCGTGGTGAGCTGGGGGGGGTGAGCAGACACAGCTACAGCCTGGGCCAGTTCCCCGGCGGGCGCGACGGGAGGGAGCCGGGGGATGGGAGGTGTGTGTGCGACCGCGGCTGTGTCGGGGTCTACCACACCACACAACGATACGTGTGACCCCACTCCACCCCACCCCCCGTGTGTGTGTGTGAGTGGTAGTGTGGTGGTGAGCGCTACGCTGCGCTACGAACACGGCAACACGGAATTCGATTGCAGCTCACGGCCCAACACCAGTGACGAGACTGTCCTTGAAGTTGATTGGTCCAATCAACTTCAAGGACAGTACACATTATCAGAGTTATGTTCTTTTGTTTGTATTATGACTGCAGGTATTGCGGTCTATGCAAACATGACTCCTTGTAAAAAGGTGTCAGTTTTGTTGCCAGATAGAAGGGTAAAAAAACAATTATCACCAGTGACGATTATATGTGAACCGGTCCTGAGACACCCCTAAGTCGACTCGGCCTCAAATTAACAGCCGGCCGTTAAGTAGTAGTAACAGAGTTTTAGCCTTTCAACTGGTCCAACACCTAATGGAGACTAGGCTCTAAGAAAAGCTGTCTCGGGTGTGGACCAATCAACTTCAAGGACAGTGCATATCATTATCATCATCAGAGTTGTTTCTTTTTGTTTGCATTTTGACTGCTTGTGTTGTGGTTATTGCGAACATGATGCCTTGTATAAAGGTGTCAGTTTTTGTACCAGTTGAAAGGGTAAGACCCTATTACTATATGTTGCCACTGGTAAAGGAGATGTCTCAGTGTAGCCGACCGTAAATTAACGCCCGGTGCGGTGTGTAAACATCGCAACTGAGAAGACAAAGGCGGTCGGACGTGGTGCTGGCCACCTACCCCCTCGTGTACCGTGCCGGCCTTCATAGGTGCTCGCTAACAGCACTTGCCACATAAGTCTATCAGTTTGTTCAGAATATATACGGAGGATTTTTGTCTTTGGTGTGTGATGGGGTGTTTGTGCCAGCCCCCTCCCCCCCCCGACCCGTCACGATATATTACAAGAGTGAAAAGTTCGGAAAAGTTCGGATAAAAAAAACCCAGTCCATTCACACACACAGAGTGACCATCAATGCACGGGCTACCGTAACGTAAGAATATAATTTACCCACCGCATCGACTGCGTACTTGGTTATGATTTAAAAATTAAAGTTACCACGTAAGGCCCACTGAGCTATACTATAGAGCTCTTTTTTGCACAACAGACATCGCCACAAATGATCGCCCAATGAAGTGGCTTATCATACGGAAATTGATAGCAGCCAAATACTCTAGCGGTCAAATCGAGTGTTGGGCCATTGTCCCTGGTGCAAGGAATGAAGGGGGCCCCTTCTGACCAAATTGCCCCCCCACCCCCTCTGTGTAGCCCGGCGCCAGGGTCACCCCTCCGGCTCATTGGCCCCAGAGCAGTTGAACCGCCTGCGCACTCGGCAATCTACGCCCACTGCACGAAACCGATATATACACTATACATACATGGTAGTAGGTTTTTACCCTTTAAACTGGCACAAAACTGACACCTTTATACAAGGCATCATGTTTGCAATAACCGCAATACAAGCAGTCAAAATGCAAATAAAAATAAACAACTCTGATGATGATAATGATATGCACTGTCCTTGAAGTTGATTGGTCCACACCCGAGACAGCTTTCTCTCTGATAATTACCATTAATAAAGGTGTCAGTTTTGTACCAGTTTAAAAGGGTAAAAACCTACTACTATATTTTGCCACTGGTAAAAGAGATCTCATAGAGTAAATGCTTACCCCGAGCTCTCAATACTCTGATATTGCCCTGTGTTTGAGTTGTACGCCTTATGGTATCATCTGGTCCAACACCAATGGGGACTAGGCTCTAAAGAAAGCCGTCTCGGGTGTGGACCAATCAACTTCAAGGACAGTGCATATTATTATCATTATCAGAGATCTTTATTTTTGTTTGCATTTTGACTGCTTGTGTTGCGGTTATTGCAAACATGATGCCTTGTATAAAGGTGTCAGTTTTGTACCAGTTTAAAGGATAAAACCTACTACTATATTTTGCCACTGGTAAAGAAGGTCCCATAGTGGCACTGTTGGTGACAGAAAATGTAGTGGTATATGTTTAACATCTTTATTGTGGGTGATTGCGGATGATGATTTGGTGTACTGATGATGATGATGAAGAATGCATAAAACCATACAATGTTATACACTAATCCGCACACGTAATATTGTATTAGCTGTAGAATGCATTCCAATTTGTTTATATCCATATGATTTATATGTAGCATAATTCCAAGTAATTGTTTTCACTGTTATCAATATTGCTTTCTACAGAAGTCTTATATAATATATTAGAGTATGATGAATCTTGATGATGACGGTGATTGTATTGTTGATGTTGATGACAACGATAAAGCTGTCAAGTGTACTTATGCTACCATTCAGTTGAATAGACTGCTGTTAACTGGCCTTACAATGACGAGGATGCTGCTCGTGCTGTTTGTGATTCAAGTGGTTATACGCGCAGATTTTTCTGACGACGATGATGGTCGCGGTGGTTATCATGACAACACATTCCAGTGGATGAAAATGGTACTGATTTGTAATGTGAGGATATATCCGGCTCACTGACGTATCACAACTCGTCATGGTGATTGGCTCTGCCGGTCCTGGTTTACAGCCAATGGGGGGAACCCTGGGGGCATGGCCCTGACGTGACGGAAAGGTGACAGCTATAAGGATTGGTTCTGCTGGCTTTGGCCACAGCCAATGGGGAGATGAGTCAGGAGTGTGGTCCCGGGAGATGACGAGGGAGCCTGGAAGATTCCATGCAGGCTAACGACGATTGGCGGAAACGTACCACGTGACCTGGGTATTAAATAGGGGTGGAGACGAACGACACGTGGTCAGAACGGGAACGAACAGAGGGGGTAGGCCACGTGGGAGCGGGGCTCCGAGTTGCCACGTGGCAGTGCGTCTCTCTCTATATATCTGTCCCTCTCACGCTGCCTATCAGCAGCGTGAAGTAAACTGCAAGATAAGTTGAATAAAAGACGAATTCCAGAAGTCGCCTCAACGAGCTTTATTACAGATTGATGATGACAAAATGGCCACCATTTACGTGGTGCCTAAATGAATAAACCGCCCCGTGGAGGTGCATCAGTAGGGTGTGGTGGAATCGCTGGTGCTGATAATGCCGTTCTTCCAGAAGATGCTACTCTTAAGCATGGGGTTTGCCAGGAGGGAGACTTCGCAGAGTCCCAGGCTGTCCACCCGCCCAGGCAAGGCCACTGTGAGGAAGCGGCCAACCAGCCAGGGCGGGCAATGGAACTCCATCGACTGTCCAGAAGTCACGAATATATCCTGGTCACATCTGCGCCGTGAAACATCATCATTGGCTTTCATTAAAATATTACATTGATGAATTAATTAGCAATACTTCATTGATATCAGTTTCAATCATGACATCATAAACAACACAAAACTGCCATTGGTCGGCACTATTGACAAGGCCGTCGTTTGTCTTGGTCCTATTTATCACCAATTGAATCATCGGCCAGAGTATATCCACTGCTGGATGAATACCTCCCCACAATCCGCTTCACTGCTGTGCGAGCGGATTTCATCTCTGCAGGCGGTCGTTTCTTTATTCGAGTCCTCTCCATTGACTGCCGCTCCACTGCGCGGCCAGGCTGCCCATGAGGAGACCACTCTTTACTCAGTTGTGCTCTGCATTGCATGGATCCGACAGTGAAAAATTAGATATGCCAACACCCTAATAGAATTTCCTTCTGATTGAGAGTCGTGCTCCTTGACCACAGGGACACGTGTTCACCAATCTACCTCCCTCTAAAGACTTTTGGTATTTGCGCCATTCCCATAGCAAGGCCCTCGTGACGGTGACCGAATACCAATAAAGTCACCTGGCGATGACGTGGGCCCAGTGGCCGCGCGTTCGCCGCTTGTTGACGAGGTTCGTGGTTTGAAAACGGCAGGCTGCCCTGGTTATTACTGCGGGTGTATTAACCATGACGATACAAACGCACCGTCTGCTTCACAGTGGGCATTAAATGTCCCCTGATGTCATTAGAAACACTTTGGCCAGTGTCTGCTGGCGTCAAGATCCAAATTTGCCAAATTTTAAAAATGGCCTGCAAAATACTCAATTGGAACGACACAAAAGCAACCGCCTCTGTGAAACACGATGTCCTCCATCGCGATAAGCCTTGCGTTACAAGAATGGCAAAAAAAATGCCAAATACGCTCAAACAATCATGATGAGGTGGTCAGACACTGCACGCATCTGACGCTTGCTAAACACGTCCCGCATAACTCGGAGAGCGCTCATTCAAATTCAGGCAGACATCTTGTGTATGCGTTCTCCTGTGTCACGCATGACGTAGACTGCACTTTATTACTTTTTGAAGGAAAGTAAACATGGTAAATGTGGCAGATATGTAGAGTGCCGCGATGAGTGGAGTTTCAGAAATCTTAGCGTGGAGCACGTCTTGGGCTGTTGGGTTTTTTTTAACTGTGCCCCTCGTGGGGATAAAGAGGGGGGTATACAGTTGTGAGCAATTCACAAGCAATTCTGTGACGTGATCTTCCAGGGCTGTTCTCTGCCAGAGGTTGCTGAACTGCTGCTGCTTCTGCTCGCTGTGGAAGTTCCAAATCGAAATCCCATCCGTCACCTCAGTACACGACACCATTGCAGTGGAGTTCGTTTGACACGTAGGCTTTCACGACCTACATTGATCATGAGTTTATTTGGGCTCAGGCCGTCATATAGCTACAATTTCAATGCTTGTAACTGTAACCCTCCACCACTCAACAAAGCCAATCGAATTCATTGGTCACGTTGGCAAATTATATGCCAATTGATTTGGTTTCACAGCGACCCGGAATGTCGAAAAGCAAGCAGATTTGGGAGGTTAATAAGGAACAATACACTCCACACCGCCTCGTAACGTGGGACAACTCACATGCCGTTGTCTTCCCGAGTCACCGAGTTCCCGACGCGGATCTCGGCTCCGAACAGACGGAGGCCATTGATGTCCCCACGACCGGCGATGGTGACGCTCTTCACTCTGTAGCTGCGGGAGAGAAGACGGCGCGAGGAGGTGTGGGGCTCGAACGAGAGGCCCCGTTGGGCGAGGAGGTAGGGCACAGAGAGGAGTTACGGAACCGGCACAAGACGGAAAGAGGAGGCACGAGGACGGACAGAGGGAAAGACGAGCGCAGACGCCCATGGCTGTATGCGCAACCGTGATTGAGGCGTTCACCTAATTTGGCTCATTCCAGCTGTGAGTTTTAAACATATGATTTGATTGACATGCGCTGAATGCACTTCTCAGGTACCTGTTTAAGGTATGCTGCTATATTGTTGATAAAGATGCCCATTAAGATGTCTTAAGGAGCAGGCGTGACATTTGCCAGGGTTTTTCGTGGCACAGTGGAGCTCTACGAATCTTTGAAAACGCCACGTACTTTCTATTTACATCCCACTGATGGCACAAATGGAGTGTGTAACATGGCAACGCGTGACGAGTCAGGACGACCTACAGCAGCATCATGTCGAGGCGCCACCATGGCTCCCAGTCCATGTACGTGATGCTGCACCCGTGTCCCGCGGTCACCGCCGTTGAGGCCATGCAGAGCGTGGGGGCCGAGGCGTTGTCCACGCGGCTGTCCAGGGCCTTCCAGGGCCCTGCACCAGGCGCCACTTTGCTCGACTGAGACGCCACTCCGTACATCAGCACCTCTGCGTTCAGTAAAGACAAGGCAGCCACCACAGCCGGCGCTGGACATTTATTCGAAGAATATTCATATATTCATATGGGCGCCACGGTGGCGAGGTGTTTACTACCTCGCTTGGTATGCAGGAGGTCGTGGGTTAGATCTCGACCCTGACGTCTGCTGTATATTTGGAGTTTACGAGTCTCTCTCTCTCCGTGGTCGTGTGGATTTGTATCCGGGTCCTCCGGGTTTCCCCTCCACATTTGGAAACATGCGTTTAGAGTATTTGGCTGCTTTAAATTTCCACGTAATAAGCCACTTCGTTGAGCGATCATTTGTGGCCAGGTCGAGTGGTTAGAGAAGTTTCATCAATTGGGCTGCCATTTGGTGGCTGTAAGGGGATGTGGGGTTGAGAGAGTCGAGTAGAGCAGCTCGGTTTTCTCTACCAATGAGATGAAGCCTTTAGAGTACAGTGACGCAGGTGGATTTCTGACCCAACCAGGAGGGGCTGTTAGCTTGATTATTTAACGCCAGGGCCACTACTCCCACAATCCGCTGAGTTTGTGAGTAGAAGATCGTTGGGGAAATTGAAAAACTAATTTATTTACAACTGATTGTTGTGTTTAGTGTGTAATCCTTCTCCCCCACCTCTGATTGACACGGCTGGCTACGTACGGTGCCAAAAAAGTTAAACACACACACATACATATCAGGTGTTGTCAATTTGGGCTGTGAGGTGGCCGGGAGATTCCGCTACGGCAATGGGCTGAATATCACTTCGCTGAGCTCCCCATTTATCTGTGGGGTTTCTTCTCCCTCGTGCCAAACGTCCATTAATACAACTGAAATGAGTTGTCTCCGACACGGTGAGGGGCTAAGTTGTTTATTTAATAAAAGCTCGGTACAGCCACACGTCTCCCTCGTCCTGCTTGCGGCTTCCACTCTCTGCGGAGCTACGCTGCCGCGCGCCACGTGGCGCTCACCCGCTCTCCCGCACACCGCTGGCTGACGGTGCGCTAAGGAGCGGCTGGGCAGCTGAAGGACGAGCCACCACGTGGTTGATGGAGATGGCGGAGCAGCAGCGACGGGGCTCCTCTTCAGTCTTCGACACACCGACCCCTTCGCATTGCTCCGTGTCCTGCTTATATCCCCCTACCCAGGTCTAAGCCCCGCCTCTTGCCACGCCTCCTTCTGGAACCTTCCCGAACGTTCCCGAAGCCTCCCTGGTGGAACCGCCTCTCAACTGTCACCCAGATATAAATCCCACTATGGATAAGTATGGCTGAAGAATGAAATACATGCCCCATGAATAATCCAGGTGACGGTGGCGCTGTTATTACACAACTGATCAAATGTCCTAATGCAGTACCCTCTGTAAAAATGTTAATACTTTTCATTATCAACACTGCAATAGCACATTACAATACTTTCACAAGATTATTATGAAGTCATAATTAGTACTCACGAGTTCCCTCTTTCAGTGGAGTCGCTGATACCATGATTTCACAAATGTAAGACGTCGCAATGCTGTCTAAATTCAATGTCACATATCTGCCATTTATTCCTCCACAGTTGTAGGTGGACATACTGCTTCCTTGATCCATCTTTATGTCCTGACACCTGCGCACTCAGAGACACGAGCACATTTGCACAAATAGATTGCATACTCTGATGGTGCATTGTCTTTGAGTTGTGCGCCTTTTGGCGTCATCTGGTCCAACCCATGTGAGACTAGGCTCTAAGGAAAGCTGTCTCGGGTGTGGACCAATCAACTTCAAGGACAGTGCACATTATCAGAGTTATGTTTTTTGTTTGCATTATGACTGCAGGTATTGTGGTCTATGCAAACATGACTCCTTGTAAAAAGGTGTCAGTTTTGTTGCCAAATAGAAGGGTAAAAAAACAATTATCATATTTTTACTGGCAAATGAGGTTCCCATAGTGTAGATTGCAGATGTTGAGGTTTCTGAGGGATCAGGAGATCATGTGGATTCTGTGAGATCTAAGAGGTCTATTAGGTTCTGAGATTTCCATAGGTCTGCTGTAACATTCAAAGATATGTAATAATCGTGCCTAACAACGCATCAGTTCACCAATTAAAATTATTTGCCATACCCTCATTGAATCACAAGCGTAAAACTAAATAATTTTCAAGTCGTGTCTGTTGTAAGTTCTCCAAATAATTGATGCAATGAATTTGTATTAGTTATTATAATGACTGGATTGTAAAACTTGACAAGGAAGGCTGAAAAATTAGAGTCTAGATGAATAGAAAATCAAAGGTCATGTAACATCAAGTTCGCTAAACGAAATTCTATTTTTTGGAGAGACACAACTGTAAAACACGCGACAATGATTGAAGGTGGTCCAGAATCAAAATGATGATATTAACAGGCAAGCGACAGCAGGTTTGTGTGCTGTTGGGAAAATAAATAGAAACTTGATAATGAAAACTAGCATACCAACGTACCTAAAAGAAGAAAGTTTTCAATCATTGCAAATTGCCACAGATGATATAAGGATCAGAAACATGGTTCACTGACAAAGACAATGGAACCAACGCTGAAAAGTGCACAGAGAAGAAGCATAGCGAAATATGCATGCTTGGAATTCCACTCATGGGATCAAAGGAGGAACACAATGATTGGAGACCAAATACAAAATTGGAGACGTCTTGTTGACGAAGACAAGTAAGTTAGCTTGGGCAGGACATAGACTTCTAGATTTTAAGCTTTCATGACTGCAAGGATTCATACTCTTAGGTTTTTTCGGTAAAGTAACGTAGGTAGAAATAAATAAAAAACAAACATAAATAATAAAAATAATAGAAATAATAATAGAAATAAAATAATAAATCACGACGTTTCAGAGGCAACACAAAGCTTCCTTCATCAGGTGTAAAAAGGCACCGCAAAATAACTGTAGTGTATAAAAAATAACTGACCTACATTTATTTTCATTATGTATTTTTTTATTATTTATGTATTTTTACCTACGTGGCTTTACCGAAAAAATCTAAGAGTAGGACATAGACTTTGTTGATGGTCGAGACTAATGATATAATGGAAGCCAAAGGAGGGAACCGACTCCGGTTGCTGTGATATCATTTTTCGCAAAACCGTACAATATATTTTTTATTTCTTCATTCATATGACATTCATCATGATATCACTTTCCCAAAACATAATTCTAGTTCACATTTTCTTTTTATTGTATTGTTTCGTGCTGTGCTGTACTTCCGGTGCTAATGAAGATCACTTACTAGTTTTTTCAACCAACTATTGCACCTTTAAATCGTTATTGCTTATAACACACCTTCTGACGGTTACACAAGAGATAAACTACATTACTATTCTTTGGGTCTTTCGGTAAAGTCACGTAGATAGGTACAAAAAAATAACAAAAAACTACGACGTTTCGATCACAACACAAGCAGAGAGACACAACTGTTAAACACGACCACTTGTGTTGCGATCAAAACACAAGCAGAGAGACACAACTGTTAAACACGACCACTTGTGTTGCGATCGAAACGTCGTAGTCGTAGTTTTTAGTAATTTTCGTTTTACCTATCCTGCAGTCACGAAAGCTTAAAGTGAAGATGTAAACCACATTAAACTAAACAAATTGTTCGGTCATTGAGCTACCATGCTGTCAAATACTCCGAAACACATTTTGTAAAGCACTCATTTAATGGTTAAGAGCTATTTATTTATAACTTTCGTAATTAATTATTATGTATTACTTGTATGTTATTTTTCGAGAGCTGAACTTTTGTAAACATCTGATAATGCTGGTTGTACTCTCTAGCGAAACGTTGTATAACATTGTTCCAAATGTTACATGCATTTAAACACTCCTCCGGATTTGCTAAAAAACACGAATCAATTGGCATGTTCGCCCACGTGACAACTTGATTTGATTGGCCCTGTCGGGTGATGGACGGTTATAATTAAAATGGATCTTATACCTACACGGCGATTCAACCCAAAATAAACTAATTATGAACCTTGGATAAATTGGGATATTGCGAATCACAATATTGGTCGTGAAAGCCTACGTATAATAATTTTTTGGACCTTACATTGAACAATGTCATAGTATCAACATATTTCGGACCTCCGATTAGCACGGTTGGCTGTGTCCGGTGCGAAAACACATTCCTGCGGAGGGAGCTGGTAGGAACGTTGGGTTGCTCGGTCAATGGCCAGGGTCAACGGCGGCGTGGTGTATTCCGCAAATATGGCCGACTGTGAGGGCGGGCACAAGCCGGCGTGAGTAGGTTAAACGTTGAGTTTTATAAGGGCACCACGGGGTGACCAGCCCCTCCCCACCCAGCCCCACCCCTCCCACCCCCCACCCAGCCCCACCCTCCCCACCCTCCCCTCACCACCCAGCCCCACCCCTCCCATTTTTTGATGCACGACGGACGGACACAATAATCCCCTGTGGGCTAGTGGAACCAGGTGGTTCCTACCAGTATAAGTTCAACATAGAACTGGTTGACCTGACCTCTTCAGTAATTAGTAACCCGACATGCGCGACAACGATAAAACCTAAAAATCTTGAATCATGACCCGGATGGTGACTCATTAATTATTCTCAATTTGAAATGTGACAAAGTAGATGTGAATCGATTAATTGATACCCAGCTCCCGATAGATTTGTCATCGGAAAGGGACCTCGGAAGGAGTGCTATGAAATCTACTTCTGTGGGGTTGTCCTCTAACACGGTGGTCGCATGAGCTGTGTGAAAGTTCCAAATGATTAACTCGTCTCGTGTTACGACTTGATGCCAACGGACATAAGTGGAATCAAGTTTTGGAGAATAGTTTATATATGTTGAAGTTAAATTGTGCCTTGACCACCTGAATGTGAAACTGCAGTTGTTGTTCTGAATCTACATCGGCCATACGAAAGAAGAGGATAAATTGTAATTGCGCGAGATATTCAGGACCACGAGTCGCGGTGTAACAGCCCTCTCGCGCACGGTACTTGGTATTATTGCTCCCTTGCTGGCCGAGGGAGTCGCCCACGTGAATAGAGGCCACGGGAGTGATGTAAAAGAAGTTGTTGATGTTCCACACGATGGACACCGCGTGCACGGCGGTCGAGTTGACCAGATACACTTGCAGAATGTCCGTCGTTTTCCAGTTCATCGGCAAGCACGTGTCCTTGTTCCCGTCCGTGATGACGGTGCTCGTGGCCTGAGCTCCCAGTGCGACGTTGTGATCTGCACGGAGGTTTGGGAGGCGCACGGAGAGGAGCGAGCGGTGAGTTCTCGCTATCGCGCTCGTTGGAGGCGAGGTTCTGCGACGAGGGGTGCAACGATTCATCGATTCATCAATCTTCTTGGTTCTTTCGGTAAAGTCGCGTAGTAGGGAAATAATAAAATAATAAAAATAAAACATAATTAAATAATTCTCACGACGTTTCGGCCAAAACGCAAGCAGCCGTCCTCAGGTGAAGAACAGGTCTGTCGGGAAGACAGCGTCACCTGAGGACGGCTGCTTGCGTTGTGGCCGAAACGTCGTGAGAATTGTATTTTATTATGTTTTATTATTATTTTATTATTTCCCTTCTACGTGACTTTAACGAAAGAACCAAGAAGATGAATCCCTGCAGTCACGAAAGCTTTAAATCGATTCATCAATGTCAACTCTAAAGTTTGTGGTACATGCATGGAATTGCGTATGTTCAAATCCATGTTTTTCAATGTACATGTCGTATGTAATGTGTTTGTGACCCCCGTGCTGCTTCTACATTTACCACGATGTAATAAAACAAACATTCCTGGATCAAGTTTGCAACCTTGGATCGTGAGCGTGGCAGGCGATGGGTTACAGCTCTACCCTTAACCATCATCAACCAGGCATGGGTGATGTGTATGGTCAAACAACCCCGATGACCGACATGACACGGAGAGGTATTCATTGAGCAGTGGATACACAAAGGACGCGCGAATTGAATTGACGTGCATTGGTCCTACCGATCACGAACACTTTCCCGGAGATTTGAAATCGCGGTGCGCAAGAGAATCGCACTGTTCAAACGGACACTGGGCTACCGTGGTCAAATCTGTTAGCAGACCAGCACCAATAGTGGAAGTCCTTCATTGCTTTGGCGGGAGCCAGGATATCCATGGGACGACCAAAAAAAAAACACAATACCTTGATTGTGAAAGACCGAAGGGCTGCTGTACGCTACTCGAGTACAAATTATTGATTTAGATCAATGTATTTGTTTGCCGAGGAAGACCTCACCGAGTCTCAAGGCTCGTTCTGGAGGGTGCTGCGTTGTGAATATCGACCAATTCCTTTGTGTGCACGTAGTCGAAATCGAAGGCAATACCCACATGCTGGAGGACAATACTTCAAAGTGTGTCCCGATAGGCAGGCCAACAACCAACTTGCACCACTGCCTCGCTAATGAACGTGACTACCCTGCAGGATGGTGTCCCGCGCACACAATGATCCCGTCTTCGACATGAACCCAAAAACTGCCCCAACTCATCACTACGAAACGTTACAGGCTGCTTGCCAATACAATGTAATCTTCTTGGTTCTTTCGGTAAAGTCACGTAGAAGGGAGGTAATAAAATAATAAAAATAAAACATGATAAAATAATTCTCACTGTATTACCTCCCTTATACGTGACTTTACCGAAAGAACCAAGAAGATGAATCCCTGCAGTCACGAAAGCTTTAAATCGAAATACAATGTAAGTTACAAACAACACGAGGATGCATAAAAAAAACACCCGGTTAAGCATTATTTTTTTTGCTTTTGAGTGCTCTTTCCAGAATATTTGTGTATTAACACGTCGGTTTTCGCGACCAATGTCATCCATAATTGGGTGTTTTTGGGGGTTAGATCGCGTAAATATATAAGTGTGTCGTTAAAACCCCGCCACCACCCGACACAGCCAACTAGTAAGGGTTGTCACGTAAACAGAACGTGCCAATTCGTCACTAGTACAGCACACTGGTGTGCTGTACTAGTGACGCTGTACTGCACAAGGGCGCAGAAGCGTGCTCACCACATCTACGCCTCTATAAAAGGAACGAAACAGGTGGACATCTCCACAAATCTGGCTGCCGCCTGATGAAGCTAGTTGTAATTACTGGCGAAATGTCGTACTCGGATTGTAAATGTTGTGGCTTGGCTCTCCAACACACCGGTGTGCTGTACTAGTATACTACACTATACACTACACTATATACTACACTATACACTACACTAGTACACTACACTATACACTACACACCAGTGTGCTGTACTAGTATACTAAACTATACACTACACTATACACTACACTAGTACACTATACACTAGTGCTGTACTAGTATATTACACTATACAATAAACTATACAAAACACTATACACTACACTACTATACACTACACTACTCTATACACGACACTATACACTACACTAATCTATACACTACACTAATCTATACACTACACTACTATACACTACACACTAATGCTGTACTAGTGACGAATTGGCCACGTTCTGTTTACGTGACAACCCTTACTAGTTGGCTGTGTCGGGTGGTGGCGGTTTTTAACGACACAGTTATATATTTACGCGATCTAATAAAAAAAAAACTCTATTACATGTGTGCATTGATTGAAACTTGCTGTTTTCTGGGCTGTCATGACGTCGCACGTACGAATTTGTCCAGTGCCTGTGTATCGATACAACTCATGGACACGCTTAACAATGAACAAGCTCCGTTAGAATCGACTGCGCTAGCCGGATTGCTCGCTGTGTGTTCCCCCTCAACCTCCTCCTCCTCACTGGTGTCATTTAATCCCCAGCGCCGCTGTGCGCGTGGTGGTTGGTGCCTGGGGAGGGCGAGGCGCTTACAGACGGAGTCCTGGGACGAGACGACTTCCCAAGACACCGAAGTCAACGCGCACAGCCAGAGCAGCGTGCCGCCCATTGTGGATGATCCTGCAGAGCACGCAAACATTCCCTGTGTACAAAAACACAAAGATCCCCCGTGTAGCCTTAGCAGACTGTTGGGGCAAGCGCTGTTAGCTAGCAGCACCTGTGAAGACCAGCAGCACGGTCCACACGAGGGGGTGGGTGGCCAGCACCACGCCCGGCCGCTTTTGTTGTCTCCCGAGTGGCGATATTTACACATCGCACTAGGCTACAAATTTGAGGCTGAGTCGACCTAGGCAAGGCCCAAGACAAATTCAGACAATCGTCACCGGTGTTGGCTGTTAGCAGGACTCAAACTCGATTTAGTAACGCAGTACGCTAACCACTACACTATCCACATTGCCATGTACCAAAGACAAACCACACAAAGCAAAAACACAAGCACGTACATTAGTACATACTCTTGCAAGACGCATTATGTAACACGATACACTTGGACAGGTTTTGAGATCTGAGCGAGCCAAAGCCGTCTACGCGACTGGAAAAGCATGAAATCATGACCTATGAATGTGTCCAGCAAACAGCCATGATTGTGGGCTTTTGGTATTGGCGTGCTCACTTTGGCAATCGTAACGATCTTGACTTAAAGCTTTCGTGACTGCAGGAATTCATATTCTATGGGTCTTTCGGTAAAGTCACGTAGATAGGTTAAAATGGATCAAATAAACAAAAAAACACTACGACGTTTCGATCACACCACAAGCGATAGTCATCAGGAAAGATCCTATAGTTTAGTGGAAACCCTCCCCGTAGAGGCGGTTAAATATTGATCTCCACTTAACTATAAGATATTTCCTGATGACGATCGCTTGTGTTCTGATGGAAACGTCGTGGTTTTTTGTTTATGTTGTTTTTATTAATTTGAACCTATTTATGTGACTTTACCGAAAGACCCAAAGACTATTATAATCGTAACGATATTGATGGTTGTGTTGGTGTTTCTAAAAACGGAGTTGACCCTGGCTGATGGCAATGCTTAAGGATGCTATTGCTGATTACGATAAATGGTGTTGCTGTTTCAGCTGCTGCTACTGGTGGCGCGGATGCCAATTATGACGATAAAATGGTGGTAAAGATGAAAATTCGTGGTGAAATAGCGATGATGATAATTATGAATACTGATACTTTTACTGCTGCTGATGGTAACTGCTGCTGTTTTGATGACTAACACTGCTGCTGCTGACGAATTCCGCTTTTGCTGATGTTGAAATGTTGCTGTTGCAAGCGCTGCCACTGTTGACGATGACGTTGTAGCCATCACTCACCCGTGCAGCACGAGCGGGAGTTGAGCTACGGCCTCGTGTCTGATGTCCGAGTAGCTCAGCGAGGGTGTTCGGGTGGGCGCCGCGCTTTTTAGGGGCAACATTGCGGAGGGAACTGGAACCCGGCCCCCTGCGACCGTGTGGAGTGGCCCGAGGCGGACAGATATAATCACCTGGTCATGTTTCGAGCTCCGTGGGTTCACCTGGCCGTTAGCTGACCGCATCTGGCCGTATCATATAACACGACACGCACTCAGTTACGTCCCCTGTGTGTTTAACAATCGCCTACGCGTCACGAGTTAATTGGTATTTGAATAGGGCGGGTTCAATTGCTAAATGCGGAAAGACGTCTTGTGGTGGGTCGCGATTACTGGAGTTTGGTAAACCTTGTATGATGTAAAACTTTCCGTCGACGAATAACATCTCAAAGCACAATGCAAATAAGTAGCTTTCAATGTATTAACAACAACGAAAATAATAGTTTACATTGAATTAAAAGCAAGAATTTAAACAAGTCCAGTGAACATTACAATGGTCTGTAATAATACTAGATGAGATTTTACACAAATCCAAGCAGGGCGAATTCTCGTCGTGTTCTACCCAATTCCAATCGTGCTACCAGGTGTGTTGCGATCCTTGACGCTGCAGTCAGTAACTGTGGCTCCTTTCCAGACGCGATTTTAGAATCGAATCTTAGACGCTGAATCTTGACAATTCGTAGAATCCCTGCGACTTGTTGCGTAGACCGGGAATGAAGGGGGGGAGGGGGGGACACCTTTTTGGATTCCTAGAGTTCAACATTCATGTCATGACGTCAATGCAGCCAGCATTGAGGGCGGCGGGTAAGCTCGGCCACCGTATTTGTTTTAGACGGCACGCTGTGTTTGAACAGACAGCCCCACTAATAACCTCATTCTCCTCGGGCAACCCATTGTGTCTTGTTTACGGAAGGTGTCGCCCTATGCGTGCATACATTGCACGCGCTGCTGGATGTATTTACACGCGGGTAATTATTGTATCAGACCTCATACGCTTTTACTGACTTTAGCGGCACATTTACACTACAGGATAGCATTCGGCGTGCAGTCCCTTCTCAGAAAAATAATTTACACCAATAGTCGTCTATGTGGTAAGACTTGAGCTTTTGTTAACACATCATCTCATATATGTATGACATATACGTATGCGTGGTGACAATGCCGGCACCGTCAACATGGCTAGAGAGATTAAATTTGCCCTGACTAAAGTAAAGTATAAGGTTATATATATTCTTTGGGTCTTTCGGTAAAGCCACGTAGATAGATCAAATAATAAAAAATAATAAAAAATAATTACAATATCACGACGTTTCGATCGCAACACAAGCAATCGCCATCAGGTGAGAAATATCGCGGGAGAGCTGCTGAGAATATATGGTGGGAGCGCTGCTAAGGTAAGGAGTTATAAAGGTGTTGGGATGGGTGTAGCCCAAGGGTCAGTGGGAGGGACGAGAGATGAAATTTGCATGTAAATGGCAGATCTGGTAAAGCTTGGAGGAATCTTGTGCAAGCCTCCTGTGCCAGTTCAGGAGCAGCTTCTTGCAACTCCGTCACTCTTAGCACCTCCTCCGCGCGTTCCCATGCTCGCCTCAAAATGGCGCCCGCTGGCCACGGGAGGTCTTCCCGAGACAAAATGGCACCCACCATGTGTGCGGACCCCCGTCCGGAGCCCCTTGCTCCCGCTCCTATGGAAGCTCCCGCTGGATTTTCCCCGCTCTCCTCCCCACCATCCCCTGGGGTACGCTCCTCGTGCCGCCCCGCGCCCTTCTCCACATGGTGGTCCTCCGCCATGCTGCTTGGTCGGGGAGTGACCGTGGGAAAATCTCAGCCATTTTCCCCGTCGATGTGCAGCTCCCGCTCTCTCCGTCGATGTGCAGCCGCTCTCTCTCTCCATCGACGTGCAGCCGCTCTCTTTCCGTCGACGTGCAGCTGCTCTCGCCGTTGTGTGTAGCCGCTCTCCCTCAAAAGCGCAGCGGCTGTCCCACAGATGCGTAGCGGCCGCCGCGCCGATCCGCTGTGGCTCTGCGCAGCCTCGCAGCCAACGGGCTTCGTAACCGGAGTCCCGGGTCCCGAGTCCCAGGGCTGTCAGAGGGATGACCGTCTCTCCGTTCTCGTCCCGACGACACTACAGGTGGGTTTTTAAATACCCCACTCCTGACACCAATTGTAGTGTTGGAGCTTGCGGCTCATACACTCAGTCGGAGACGAGGTGGTCGCAGGAGGCACCGCCTCCTCTCTCACGACCACGCTGCCGTACGACCCGGCCCAGACACAACCCTGTCCGCGTTACACCGGCGGCATCAACCGAGACAGCCAACCACTGTCCGGTCGCGCAATAATCAGGTGAAGGCGGCAGCAACGGAGGCGGCGATGACGACAGCGACGATGAGACGAGTCCACTCCCAGAACCGGCAGCCAGGAGCTCTCGCTCTCGGCGCGGCTTGGCTCCGCCCTAGCCGCGCCTCCCTCCTCGAACCCACCAGAGGGTTCCAGGGGCCTCCCTAGGAGGTCTACCGTGACCCTTGTCACAGTCCCTCCACCCTGCCGGCACACCTGTGTATATAAATCAACGGCATGTGCGCTGTGTCCACCTGCAGTTGCTGCTGTTGCACAGCAGTCGGCGCTGTGTCACCACACATGTGAAAGTGAGTGTGCATCTGTACAGCTGTAGTGGGGAGGGTAGTGTAGCGGTTCGTGCGCTGCGCTACGAACCCGGCCACCCGAGTTCGATTCCCGCTCATGGCCAACACCAGTCACAATTATCTGGACTGGTCCTGGGCCTCCCCTAGGTCGACTCAGCCTAAAATTTTGACCTGGTGTGGTGTGTAAACATCGCCACTGGGGAGTCAAAGGCGACCTGGCGTGGTGTTGGCCACCCACTCCCCTGTGTGCCGTGTCGGCCTTCATAGCTGCTGCTTGCTAACAGCGCTTGCCCCAACAGTCTGTGTAGGATAATGTTTAGGCTACACAGGGATCGTCGTCGTTGAAATGTGTGCGTGCCTCCACCCCCCCCCCCCCCCATGTGTGGGCAATTGTGAGGACTCATTACGCCCCTTCCGGCAGGAAAGCCAGTATAATGACTTTTTCTATTTATCAGACTTTACGTTATGTTTTATTTACTATACGGTATATATTACGTGACAACTTACGATATTTTTCTTATTTTTGAGTTTAACAATGCTTCCCTATTTTGTTGAACCATAACACTGACCGTATGTGCATTTAAATGCAGCAATTTGCAGTGTTGCATTCGACTTACGAACGGGCGTAAGAACTGAGTACGTTCGCAAGTCGAGGACTGTCGAGGTTGTTAAATAAAAAAAATCCGACATATTCGAGGAAACCGCACTTGCTGTACTGCCATCTTCTGGCCGTGTCGTAGCACAGCGGGTTTGGGAGTTTCACAAGATCTGCGTTGATCCATCAACCCCTGCCTCCAAAACGCTGGACAAGATGAAAATTACCACCACACCCGCCTATGGGGCCGTCCATAAATGACGTCACGCACCTAGGGGGGGGGAGGGTGAGACGTCAGACAGATGTGTGACAAGGGGGGGGGGTGGTTGAGAAATGTGACGTCACATCAAAATGCGCAACTTTAAATATAAACAACACGTTCTACTTAATGAAATATAATTGTTAGAAAGACACTATTTTTTAAAATTAATTTTCATCATTAACTATTTGATTATTTAAATTGACTAAGGTCACCTTTTATTTATTCCATGAAGGAGAATTTTGCTTCTCCATCAGAGAATGGAGAAGCTTACATTTAGTTATTAAACATTTTGATTTTAATGATTCTACCAGGGCTTTTCATTCTGTAGAATGAATATGTGATTGTTATAATTGTACTCTCCATTTTGCTTCATTCTACTACAAAGTTTTAAGTACAGTATGTTTTTATATTTATAATTACTCTTAATATATGATAATTATAGGAGAATTTCAATATAATATTCTGAACATCTGCAGTTTTAGTTAGACGATGAATATTTTCAAGTGAATTTTATGCAAAATTTCAGCTTTCCAACGCCTCCTTTTTAATAAATGTTTTCTCCTACAACATCAGAGTGCAGCGCCACATTAAATACGCACTACAATGACAATAGTTTAAAGCGACTTGAAGCATGCTTTATTTTCAAAATGGAAATATGGTTTTGGGGGGGGGGGGGGGGGGGGCAGAGCTTTGTGACGTCATATTTGAGGGGGGGGGGGGTCTGACTTTTTGTGACGCCGTGTGACGAGGGGGGGGGGGTCAAAAAACGTCAAAAAACGCGTGACGTCTTTTATGGACGGCCCCTATGCTATATACAGCACTTACATTATCATAGTCAATTACGACCATTAAAGGATAAAATAAAAACTTTAATTTTAATGTGAATAGACAGGTATATGTAAAAGAAAACTTATTGGTATTTACATTTTTCAATTTAGCATGACGTCACTATCGCCCACGCTCGCTGTGACGTCACCTTCCAGTCAGACGCCGCTGCGCGCGCGACGACACTTTTCAGCGACATGACGTCATCCGCGCGCCGGCGCGTCATCCCTACACCGTGACGTCATTCCACGCCATGGCGTCGCTGTGCGCGGGGACGCGCGACTCGCGCGTGCTCGTGTGCGCGGGGGCGCGCGCGCTGCTCCTCGCGCCCCCCCTCGGCGAAGGGTACGTGGGGGGGGGGGGCACGTGGGGGGGGGGGCACGTGGGGGGGGGGTACGTGGTGGGGGGGGGGCACGTGGTGGGGGGGGGCACGTGGTGGGGGGGGCACGTGGTGGGGGGGGCACGTGATGGGGGTGGGGGGTTGGGGGTGGGTACGTGGTGGGGGTACGTGGGGGGGTGGGGGGCACGTGGGGGGGGGGGGTACGTGGTGGGGGTTGTGGGGTGCGGCGCGTATCGCGCACATGTGACGGCGGGTGGGGGGTGCACGCCCCCCACCCACCGCGGTGCCTGCGGTGACGGCGGCTGTACAGCCAATCCACCCCAGAGCCCGTACACACCTGGGTCTGTTACGTTGGTGGTCTCAACGTGCACCTAGCTTGGCACAGGCGCCGTGGTGACGTCAGCACGTCGCTTGCGGTGGCTTTGGTTGCGGTGCAGCTCAAAAGTGGCAACCCATCACTCCATGAAGCTCTGCGTGTGTGTGCGCGCTCGCAAACGGCACTTTTCCCCAACAATCTGAAGGCTATCGGTGGTGGGGGGGGGGGGCAACCTTTGTCTCTGTGTGCACCTCTCCAACATGTTGCCCGTGTCACCGTCTTGTGCCAGAGAAGCGCGAGTGATGGAGTTCGACACACGCTCGGACACGCAGGGGCAAGCGCCGGGCACGTGAGTCTCAACAAAGTGTTACTGACCACGGCATGCCCCCCTTTACCCGTGTGCCGTCGGAGCACGTCTGGTCGTGAAGGCACGAGCCGGATCGGTTGTGGGAGCAGAGGCAGCACGGCTGGGGGTCATGGGTTCAGATCTAGGTTAAGCACGCTGTGAGTAAACCTTGCAGTGGATTGATGGTTTCAGTTTAGTCCTAGATTTTGAAGTTTACGTGACTGCAAGGATTCATACTCTTTGGTTTTTTTTCGGTAAAGTCACGTAGGTAATTTTTTTAAATAAATTAAATCACGACGTTTCGGAAGCAACACAAGCCTCCGTCATCAGGCGTCACTGCTCAAGTAAAATTGCTGTAGCAATTTGTAGTCGTCTATTTTACTCCACAATAGAGTCTGCGATGTGATAGAACTCCGTGGATAGCCCCCTCAAGTAGAGTGTGCCAGCCTCGCTGAGTGTAATACACGATTGCCCCCCAGAGCAATTAGGTTGAATTGCCATGATTTTTTTCAAAAGTGTATTTCTGGTCTAATTTTTACCATCTGGTTGAATTCTTTTTGCTCTTTTTTTCCCCTAGTGTAGTTTGTCCACTTCATCAGCTTGACGTTAACAATATTATGTTATTTGCGTGTAAAGCAAGTGACCGATTTCAACGCAATTATGCGTCTACAGTATAGTGAGTAAAACTAGATTCGAAGCGTTCGTGACTGCAGGAATTACTCTTTGGTTCTTTCCGTAAAGTCCCGTTGAAAATATTATTTTATTTTCTACGTGACTTTACCGAAAGAACCAAAGAGTATAGTGAGTGTGATGAATACTTCAATGTGACGATTCAGTGCAATGTTACACACCGACTGCTCTAATACTATGTTCATGGCGTTCCCTCTGCACGTGCCAACGACAGTGTGAGTGCGGGCGCGCAGGGCCTGATCCTGGCCGCCTGCCTCTCGTCCAGGGGGGATCTCATCGCCATAGCCGACGATTTCAAACGGCTGAGCGTGTTCCACGTGCGGTCCTCCTGGGAGAGGCTTTTCTCCTGGTGCGTTCACACCACACGCATTCGCTCGTTGACTGCGCACAGCAATCGTTCGCAGGTTGTGTGCACAGCACTGCATGCAAGTATCCGTAGACGAGACTCGAACTTTTTGACCCGTGACCCGACCCGCGACTTTCTGACCTCACCCGAATCCGTAACCCACTTCAATACCGCCGTTTGACCTGAAATCGATGCACAAATAACATGTCTAGAATTGACGTCTTGTGTTTGGATGATGTGTTATTTTTTTCACGAAAGTGAGAGTGTAAAACCTACATTTCAAGTTGCTCAAAATGTAGTGGTGCCCAGTTTCTAGACGAGTAGTCGTGTACGCTAAATCTAAAATAAATTATGTGTGGTTCATCGCGAGTCATCTGCGAGTGTCCCATGATGAACACAACCTGACCCGCACTCAAAACGCAGGCCAAACCCACCGGCTCTTTGGTTCACGTGCTGGTACCCAACGCGATGCAGGACTAACTTCCCTTTGTTTATCCAGGAGAACCTCGTTAAGATTCATGACTCCCGCAAGAGGGATTGTGCATTGGGATTTTTGCCAATTCCTTAAAGAGTGTTTTGCGAGTTGGTGGAAATTTGAGTTTCCGTGGAAAACAACCCCTCCCTTCACGGACTCAAAACACAAACAGATGGATTGGCAATAATAATTTGATTTTGCTTGATAATTTCTATTTTGTCACAGAATACAGGTTTGGAAAAAAATGTCATATTTAACTTGCACCACAAAGATTTGAATAGCAGCAACGCCCGATGTATCCCTTCTGGTCTGATTCACTGAACCATTCCATCGTGTTTAATGGACAAGGCCTGTGAGGCCAAAATTCATCATCATCATCATCGTTCTTCTGAGTGACTTACAGTGCTAAGTTACAGAGAGCAGTGCTTCGAAATCCATTATTGTACTGTGCTTCTCTGCTGGCCTGTCTGTGCTCCCCACCTTCGCCAAGCTGCACTAACCAGCATGGTGAAGTGTGTTCAAATAACCCCTCAATCTCTAACATCATAATGCCAGGGCCATACACGAGCCCAGGAACATCGGAGAGTGATGCAAAGGTTGTCTGCACTTTGCTGCCCCCATCTCCCATACAGCCCAGATCTGGCACACTTCGATTTTCATCTGCGCAGTTATTTGAGGAATGCCCTCCAACTCTGCTGCCCCAGTAACTCTGTTGTACTGGACGCTGCTTGCAGATGACTACTTGATACAAATGAATAATTTTACAGTGAAGGAATGGTTACACATGGGTACAAGTACATAACAGAGCAAGGAGACTTAAACAATAACAAAGTCTTTATTGTACTCTCATGAGTGAATCTTAAAAAATATATAAGTTGAAGAAAAAAATGTAACGGCAAATATTCTTTGGTTCTTTCGGTAAAGTCACGTATAAAGAAAAAAATAATAAATAAAGTAATAGCATTTAATTTATTATTTTTTCTTTATACGTGACTTTACCGAAAGAACCAAAGAATAATTCCTGCAGTCACGAAAGCTCCAACGTTAATAACGCCAAATAGTTTTCATAAAATTCACACAAATTATAAACAATCATAACATACATGTTCCGGTGCATGTAAACATAAGAAGTAATTTAATTTATGCATCTCTGCATCGTCACTTGCCTCTTAGATATGATATGCGCATCTCTCGCCCAAATCCACCCCTCATCCCTCACTGTCTTCCCCGGAAGATTTGCCGGTTTATCCCAGGATGTTTCTGTTGCGCGTCGTCGCTTTAAGATGTTCTCTGTTCATATTTTGTTTGTTGCGGTTGCACCCGACTCAAGAGCCGCATGCCTCACAAGGCTATACCGAATAAATGAAACTTGTCACTCCACTCCTCCGCCCCTCCCCCGCTGCAGCTCGGTCCCACGCTGTTGCACGGCACTGGCATTGGTTCCCGATGGGCCCCCGGCGCCCAACGGTGAGAACGGCGGAGCCAGAGACGCGGCTGGGGGGGCGATCGTGCTGGCCGCTGACCGTGCCGGGGATGTGTACCACTTCCGAGTCACTCCGGGGTCGCCGGCCCGGATCGCGGAGGAGGCAGTCAATGGACAACCCCTCCTGGGACATCTTTCCATGCTGTTAGATTTGGTAAAACACGTGGCGCCGACTCGCACACATTTACAGTTGCAGCAAAACTTCACTGCACCTTGGCGATGTGAGGGGGTGCTCTTCTCTGATGTTCTTATTCATATTTATCTGCAAAAAATTACTCCCGTTTCGGTATGGTTATTCATGGATAATTAGAATGACTTTGCCACCAATTCCGTCATAGTTGAACCTTAACTGCCAAATGAGAGTCTATTCTAAAGGAGAAAATAATTTGGCCCCCCCTTCCAAGTTTGTCCGTGGATTATAGATGCATTTATACGTTGGACATTGAGGTCAATTCATGCGTGTGGATAATAGGAAGACCAAATAATGTGGGCGTGGGCAAGATGAGTTTTATTGTGTAATCATCGACTAACCAATTCAGTTGCGATTGGCTGGCAGTGGGTGTACGTGAGCTTGACCTTTCTGTTTCCACACATGTCACGATTGTCCCGTGTCCTCCCTGTATTTCCACGTGTCCTGCAACTTGCTTGTTTTACAATGTTTCCTGCATTCCCTGTGTCCTGGTGTCTCAAATGTCCCCGTGCTGTGCTTCTCCCAAGTGTCCCCACTCTCCCAACGCCCACGTGTTTGTCATATTCACTGCATTCACCTCATCTCTTGTACCCCTGTCTCCTCGGTCCTCATGTCTCCATCTCTTCCATACCTGAATGCTCGCTACGTTCTGCCTGTTCCAGTGTCTGTAACCCTCATGCCCGTTTTGCCTCTATCGTCCCTCATTCCCCGTATGTCCCGTGTCCCCGCGTTCCCGCATACCCCATGTCTGCTGTGTGTCCCGTACCTTCACGTCTCCTCATCTCTCACATCCCCCGTGTTCCCCGTGTCCACAGGCAGTGACGGAGGATGCTCGCTTTGTCGTCACGTCTGACCGCGATGAGAAAGTGCGCGTGTCTCTACTGGACGCTCCTCACAACATCCACACCTTCTGCCTGGGCCATACCGCGTGGGAACCACACCACCACACCACCATACCAGCACACCAGCACACCACCACACCAGCACACCACCACCACACCAGCGCACCACCACACCACCACACCAGCGCACCACCACACCACCACACCAGCGCACCACCACACCACCACACCACCACACCAGCACACCAGCACACCACCACACCAGCACACCACCACACCAGCACACCAGCACACCACCACACCACCACACCAGCACACCAGCACACCAGCACACCAGCACACCACCACACCACCACACCAGCACACCACCACACCACCACACCAGCACACCAGCACACCACCACACCAGCACACCAGCACACCACCACACCACCGCACCAGCGCACCACCACACCACCACACCACCACACCAGCACACCAGCACACCACCACACCACCACACCACCACACCAGCACACCAGCACACCACCACACCACCACACCACCACACCAGCACACCAGCACACCAGCACACCACCACACCACCACACCAGCACACCACCACACCACCACACCAGCACACCAGCACACCACCACACCAGCGCACCACCACACCACCACACCAGCACACCAGCACACCACCACCACACCAGCACACCACCACCACCACACCAGCACCACCACACCACCACACCAGCACACCAGCCACACCACCACACCAGCACACCACCACACACCACACCACACACCACCACACCAGCACACCACCACACCACCACACCAGCCACACCAGCGCACACCACCACACCACCACACCAGCCACACCACCACACCACCACACCACCCACCACACACCACCACACCACCACACCAGCACACCACCACACCAGCCACACCAGCACACCACCACACCACCACACCAGCACACCACACCAGCACACCAGCACCCACCACACCACCACACCAGCACACCACACACCACCACACCACCACACCAGCACACCAGCACACCACCACACCACCACACCAGCACACCACCACACCAGCACACCACCACCACCACACCAGCACACAGCACCACCAGCACACCAGCACACCACCACACCAGCACCACCAGCACACCACACCAACCACACCAGCCACACCAGCACACCACCCACCACCACCACACCACCACACCAGCACACCAGCACACCACCCAACCACAACCAGCACACCAGCACACCACCACCCACCACACCAGCACACCAGCACACCACCACCACACACCAGCACACCAGCACACCAGCACACCAGCACACCACACACCAGCACACCAGCACACCACCACACCAGCACAGCACACCAGCACACCACCACACCAGCACACGACCACCACACCAGCACACCAGCACACCACACACACCACACCAGCACACCAGCCACACCACACCACACCAGCACACCACCACACCAGCACACCACCACACCACCACACCAGCACACACACCACACCAGCCACACCACCACACCAGCACCCCGCACACCACCACACCAGCACACCACCACACCACCACACCAGCCACACCAGCACACCACCACACCACCACACCACCACCACCACCACCACACCAGCACCACCTCACACCAGCACACCAGCACACCAGCCACACCAACACACCAGCACACCAGCACACCACACCCCACCACACCAGCACACCCCTATCACACCAGCACACCACCACACCACCACACCAGCACACGACCACCACACCAGCACACCACCACACCACCACACCAGCACACCCCTATCACACCAGCACACCAGCACACCACCACACCACCACACCAGCACACGACCACCACACCAGCACACCACCACACCACCACACCAGCACACCACCACACCACCACACCACCACACCACCACACCAGCACACCAGCACACCACCACACCACCACACCACCACACCAGCACACCAGCACACCAGCACACGACCACCACACCAGCACACCAGCACACCAGCACACCAGCACACCACCGCACCACCGCACCACCACACCAGCACACCACCACACCAGCACACCACCACACCACCACACCAGCACACGACCACCACACCACCACACCACCACACCAGCACACCACCACACCACCACACCACCGCACCACCGCCTTATCGCAACACGTAACAACGCACACCGATATACCGCACTACACCACACATTATGTTACCTCATCGCAAAACCAGCACACTATCCATCTCTACGCACCACAGCACCACCTTACTCATCACCACATATGACTTTAGGTGGCCAAATTTTTAATAATCTATTCGTTGCTTTCCTCGTTTTGACCGTCCCGTTTTTTATTGGACATTAAAGATTCCTTGACGTCATTCGCAAGAGTGGACCAATGTGCATCGGCATCATGGTCCAAATTTGACACGTTTGATAAATTACCCGTAAAGTTCTCCGTTGGTATTTACGTAGCAATGACCTCCTCCTTACTGCGAAAGAACCCTACTGAAAGAGAGTCACGAGACTCGGTGAATCTTTCCTGGGTAAACAAGTGTAGAGAAGTCCCCACGGACGTACTCGGAGACGGAGCTAAGGTATGGGCTTTCGCCAGGGTTTATTAAAGCTTAATAATAATACACAAGGGTACACAACTCCCAGGGGCTAGGGCTCCTACTCTGAGTCCGGGTCCCTGCCGGCTAGCTCAGGTCTCTCTCTCTCTCTCGTGTCGGATCGTGGACTCTACCGACTCCACCGACCGGAGAGAGAGAAGCACCTCTACGGCTACTACCACCGGCTGCTCCCCTGACTCCTTATTCGATCCCTCTCTCTCTCTACCCACTGGTTCCCTCTTCACCCTTCTTACTCTACCCGTTCCCACAGTGACCCCGCTCACGTCACGGGGTCTCCCCTAAGTGACGTCATCGCACTGAACGGGGCACACCTGAAGTCACGTCCCCATTTTACTCCTCTACGCAAGCATAATAATAGTGACGATAAAATACTGTCCAGGCTGAGTCTTGCGTATTCATTTTCGAGACGTGAAAAGGTCGAGTAGCTTCCGGTTGACGTCATGTTCTCCCCACCATACTCGGCACACATTGAACTTGCGCCACATCGTGCTACACCGCAGAAAAATCCGCTGCACTGTACTCTGCGCGTGACGATGGCTTTGTGCGTTGCGTGTGTCGCTTCAGGTTCGTGAGCCGAGTGACTCTGATGAAGAATCATCCAGATAAGCTCCTCACAGGTTCTGGGGTGAGACTTTTTTAAATCCTTTATATTAAGTTCGCTTGCTTGCTTACGACCGTGCAAATCTTTCGGTCGTTTTTTAACCCACTTCCCGTGATCCAATCGAGCTGACATTTTCCACACAGACTCGTTGTGCGTGACAATTAATGTTCGTGAACATTTTTTTTCCAAAATGTTACACTTTTTAGGACAAAAATATTATATTTAATTACCAATTGCTTAATGGTGCAATGCAATCATCTGACCTATAGGTGGCAGCCATCTCAAGTCAGAGGACGAGAGGACTCTAGCCGCCACGCATATAAAGGATTTATAGTGAAAAACTTTGTTTTTACGGGTTAATTTTTTTAGTGACTCTGATCGAAGTGAATCCTTTGCGTGTGATAGTACACAGAGGGCTTCACTAGCAATGGCACGCGGGTGGCTATGTAATGACATTCTGTGGCTGAGATGGCACACCAAAATTAAGAAAAAAGGAAAGGCTTTTTTTTTACTTTCTGTCTGTGTTTTTGTCTGCATGTCCGTATATCTCCGTGTCTACATGCGTATTTCTGTGGGTTTGTGTCTCGGCGAGTATTTATGTGCGTGCGTGTGTCTCTCTGTATTTCCCTGTCTCTATGTGTGTATTTCAGCGTGTGTGCATGTGTGTCTCCGTGTCTTTCTCTGTACCTTTGTTGCCATAGCTGGTTTTTTCACACCATTACCACCATGGAAACACCTCCCCTACTAATTAGTTTTTACTGCAATTTCACTGATTTTATTATTATTAATTGACGATTTGCGTGAACGTTGTGACAAACTCATAGCCTTAATCATGGGTCATCCATGTAAAATGTGCGGCTTTATCTCTGTTCAGTGCTTTGTGAATTCATCGTTTTACCCCGTTGTGGTTGGTGCACTCTTCCAACGAACAACCGTGAAGGCATTTGAAGGGTCTCTAATGGCAATGCTGCATTTTGCGTGCAGAGGGCGACAGTGACCTGATAGGATGGGTGTGCAGAGACGCAGGCATCGTGGATGATCAACACGTGTACACGTACAGCCCGTTTGTCAAGCTACTGCTGGATGACGCCCTCCCAATGTGGTGTAGATTGTGGGGGTTAATTGACCATACTTCACAACAATTATGTTTCGTATGGCTGCTGATGTATATGCAGAGAAAAAAACACTTTAACATTCGGGTGTTCAAGGCAGATAATACACGCTGGTCAGTGTCGGTTGGGGAAGCCAGACAGTATAGGCAGAGCATCGTACAGCACGACAATGCATTGCCCTCTGGTGACAACGTGTCCCCGTCTATAACACCGTTATGTGTATGGTGGGCACATATCCTTGCTGTATGTAAACATTCCCAATTGTCATGTTCTCACTGCAGCGAAACTTAGTTGTAATGTTCCCACTCTGCGTGTGTTCCCGTATCTACGCCCCATGTTTTTAATTCCCCGATTTCCCATTTTGTGTAATGGTGCAAGTCACAGTGTCCTTGAGATGCAGTCGCGTTTCTGTATTTTAGAAATCATAATGTTTAAATGTATTGCACTCATTGTTCTACGAATAGTGTTTCGGAGAACAATGACATTGTCACCTTTCCATTCAATTTGTCCGATCCAATGGAAATCCTAACTTGGAAATGATTTTGTGTATTTGTAAATAAGTCTTAAAAGGTACTTTAAATTGTATCTCGCACTTTACGCTGAAATGAATCCACGGAACAGGATGGTACAGTGCGCCTGTGGGACTTGACCTCTGGCCGGGAGATCAGCTCCTGCAACCTCAACCCAAGCCCTACCGAGCAGCACAAGGTGACACACACACAAAGATAAAGATCCCCCTCGTAGCGTTAACAGGTTTGGGGCAAGTGCTGTTAGCGAGCACCTAATGAAGACCGGCACGGCACACGAGGGGGTGAGTAGCCAGCACCACGCCCGGGCCGCCTTTGTCTCCCCAGTGGCAATGATTACACACCACACCAGGTACTCACTTGAAGCCGAGTCAACCTAGGGGAGGCCCAAGACAGGTTCAGATAATCGTCACTGCTGTTGGCCATGAGCGACAATCGAACTTGGGTCGCCGAGTTCGCAGCGCTACGCACGCACACACACACACGATGCTCATCTTGTTTTACATGGACTCGTTTGGTGGTACTGCTCGTCAATAACACTGCGGTCTTAAAGAAAATAAAAATAAGTGACAATTCAGACAATGGCCCTTCTTCATAGTACATATCGGATAAGGTGATGGCGACAACACGCCTCGTGCGTTGTATGAGCTGTGTTGGTTTGCACTCCTACAGGCCGTGTAAGTCTGAATGGGAGGCCGTTATGTGTTAATGATGGATATGAGATGTCCATTGACTTAAAGCAGGGCTTGGCATGTGCTTATAATCACGTAGCACACGAGACTGAGAACTGCCTGGTGGCCATCCCCATGTAACCTGTCTCGTAGAGTCACGAAGAGGGGTCGAGGGTTGTCATGATTCATCGGTTGAACGGCGAGATGGAATTTAAGCATTGTGAGCCCATCGATCAGTTATACGGATAATATGCAAATTGTGCTCTGACGTAAATTTTTGACCAATGAAGAAAAAGTCAATTGGATTGGAGCTGATAAGGATGATATGCAAACTGCAAATAAGGTTGGAACACTAAAACAATAACAAAATATCGATTGTTTGTGGTTATGTTGTGGTGTTTGTGGTTGTGTTGTGGTGGTTGTGTCGTGGTGTGTACAGGGGAGCGCTGGTGCGTTACGACCCGAATTCGATTACAGCTCACGGCCAACACCAGTGACGATTATCTGAACCAGTCCTGGGCCTCCTGGTGCAATAGGCAAATATCACTACTCGGGAGACAAAGGCGGCCGGGCGTGGTGCTGGCCACCCACCCCCTTCGTGTGCCATGCTGCCCTTCATAGGTGTTCGCTAACAGTACACAGTACATTGTCCTTCAGTGTGTTAAGGCTATCTAGGGGATCTTTGTCTTTGATGTGTACAGGAGCATCCCGTGTCCTGCGTTGCGCACACGGCGACGTCGGACATGATCGCCGTTGTTTGTGAAGGGTGAGAAGCAGCATCAAGCACGCTCGCCCACGCTCACCCACGCTCACCCATGCTCACCCACGCTCACCCACTCTTACTCGCAACACACACGGCAACAGCTGCCGTTCGCCTGCAAGTGCTGGTTATATTGTCGCAGAGCTTGTGCCAAGCTAAGTTCACTCACTCGCCCACATACACAAAGATAATCCTTTATGGTGGATGCAGTTAGCGAAAGTTTGGTACTAACTTTATGCCAAGTCATTCTAAGGGAAGCTCAGAAGAAGTCCAAAAGCTTTCTACACGTCCCACACTCTCACCTCTCGCTCCGATTCTCATTTTATTTTCTATTCGCAGACTTCCTGGAGTTCACCTCCTCCACTTGGTGAACTGTGACGAGGAAGGCAGAGATCCCACAATGCACAGGTTGGGCGAGATGCTCGCTCCTGATTGGCCTGTGATGAGTGCCTCCTTTGACGGCCAATCACGGCTCTGGCTGTTGGGCGGCCGCCCCTGCCTCTGTGTGCGTGTCTACGCTGCACGGCATGAAGGGAAATTTGAGGTGCGTCGCCGGCTCCGGGTTTTCCACACGGCACACGCCCGGATGTGCGATTGTGGTGGGGGTTGTTGCTGATGGTGGTTTGCTGATGATGATGGTGGAGACGGTGGGTTTTGGTGGGTGTGTTGGTCTTGGTCACAGGTTATATTGGTAATTTATATCGCTAATTTATAGGAGTGGTTACAGCTTGGATTTTTGTGGCATTGATAGGCGGTGGTGACGGTGATACACCCACCTCTCTCTTGCAGCTTCTTCCTCTGTCTGAAGCGGAGTCATTGTCTCGCTCCCTCGCACAGATGCCCGAAGAATTACCAGGTTCGTAATACATATTGGACACAGTTTGCTACCTTAAGTAGGCCACCACTATCCCAGAAAGTGAGGTTTGAAGACCCGCGGAAGCATTCCGAGGAAATAAGCTTTCAAATTTGTATTTCTAGGGAGAGATTATGCTGGCTAAAAGCTAGCCGAACTATTGTGATGCACACACATCACATCTGTATAGTTTTGACATACCTTGCAAACACCGCTTATTGATGTACTAGGTAATCAGACGGTGTCTCCTTCATATTATCTGTCGGTCCTCATGACAAAGGACAGATTTATGAAGGGGGCATTATCTGCGTATACATTTTAATTACCTATACTCTCCACAGTCGACGAATCGACCCCATCGCTACCCATTAGGGACTTCCTGCCAGGGAGCACGTGTGCTGTATTAACACGCGCAAGCATGCGGCCTCTCACCCGCGCGACCCCTACCCCCGTGGTGCGTGCTCTCAGAGTCGGCGTGGTCGAGCTTCTCGGCGCTGTACCGGCACCCGATCGACGGCTCCGAGGTTTACTTCCAGCGCAAGGAGGAGCGTCTTGAGAAACGCAAGCGCAAGCACTAGAAGCCGCCACCCCACCCAACGGAAGATGGTTCTGGCACTGCTTTGCCGATGCCTACCAGTGAATGATTTCGTTTCCCCCAAAAGCTCGCACTCGTTGAAAACTGCCACGGAAACTTCAAATCGGACACACAAAGACGCGGGTCACGTGACTATGCCTAGGCTGTGTGAGCAAACGTCAAACGTACATTCGTTTCTTGCAAAAACTCGTGTTTTTTAATGACTCGACTGAACTCTTGTCGCCCTGTTGTGGCACTGCCGTATGATGTTGCTCACAATAAATGCGTTAATGGAGATGGTTTGCTGATGACGGTTTCCCAAGTGTGCCATGACCAGAGCTGTCCAATGACACGGTCGCAACGCCATGACGGAGCAGCAAGGAAAGGAAGGCCCCTTCCTCCACGTTAATACGGCTCAGCAGAGAGATGCCCTCACCATCATATTTCCCGTCCACTACGAGAGGTCTTCCTGTTTGCATCGGCGTCTGTTTCAAGAGGTGTGGTGTCACGTGGGGAGCGGTAGTGCAGCGGTTAGCGGCTGCGCTACGAACCCAGCAACCCGAGTTCGATTCCCACTCATGGCCAACACCACTGACGAATATCTGAACAGGGTTCTGGGCCTCCTCTAGGTCGACCCCGCCTCAAATTAGTATCTGTTGCAGTGTGTAAACATCGCCACTGGGAAGACAGGCGACTGGTGCATGGTGCTGGTCACCCACTACATCGCTAACAGCATTTGCCCCAAGACCCTGTTAAGGCTATAAGGGGGGTCGTTGTACGTGTGGGTCACGTGTGGGAGAGTGTGTGTACTTGGGGATCGGTGGTGCAGTGGTTAGCGTGCCGTGCCGGCCTTCATAGGCGCTCGCTAGCATCACTTGCTCCAGAAATCGGTTAAGGCGGGGGATCTTTGTCTTTCTGTGGGGAGTGGGTGCTGCAGTGGTTAGTGCGCTGTGCTATGAACCCAGCAACCCAAGTTCAAATCTCGCTCACGGCCACCATCGGTGATGTTTATCTGAACCGGTCCTGAGACCTCCGCTAGGTTGACTCATCCTCAGATGAGTACCTGGTGTGGTGTGTAAACATCGCCACTGGGGAGACAAAGGTGGCCGGGTGTGGTGCTGGTTGCCCACCCCCTCGTGTGCCGTGCCTGCCTTCATAGGTGCTCGCTAACAGCACTTGCCCCAACAGCCTGTGAAGGCTACACGGGAGATCTTTTAGCGCCTCTTCACGTGTTCCCCGAATGTCGTCACCGCTAAACTTGGGTGAACTGACAGGTTGAGCACTCGTGGGAACCACCCTGATCACCCCGGCACTAATGGAATAAGATTCCCTATCATCAGCAGTTTCTCCCTAAAGCCACCTAATAAATACGTGTTTAAAAAAATAGACCTCAAACATGGTGAGATCAAAATATCGTATTTAAGTGGCCTAATTTATGGATTAAAATGTGTTTTGCAATGAAATAACTGTTAATAATGGCTGCCACCTTGTGAGCGGCAATTAAATGTCGGGTGATATTGGTGAAATAAATTTGCATGGACGGTGAGGGATTTAAAAACCTCAGGCTTGTTTACTTTAGTTCAGGTGAGAGAGAGAGAGAGTCTGCTCCTGTCAAAGTGGTGGATACAGAGGGGTGGCCTGATGGGTAGAAGAGCGTTACTTTGATGGCACCGGAGTTTTAATTCTACATGGTCCTCTCAGAGATGATGCATATCACTCTCCTGTCATGTCTGTCTTTATTTCGCCAACCCAATTTCCAGCGAATATGCTGGGTGCCAGCACATCTTCTCGCCAAAGTCCTGGTCTCATTTGTTGTTTATGTAATGTCAGTGCAGCTGTTACACATTTATTAATTGTTTTGACATTCGTATTCAACAAGGTCTTGGTTTGTCAGAGTTGTTGATGACTGTCGGTCTTCACCAAACCTAGTGTCTTTTCATAGTCTACAACACGGCCAGACAAATGGTATTTCATATTATTTGGATTTTCTAGTAGGCGATCCATGATGTGTATAATAAGGTTACTGTTAGAAACACACGCCAGGAATTAGAAAATAAAAATGAGAATCACAAGGGAGAGAAATGTGAGTGTGGGAGGTGAACAACGCCAGATTCAATGCCCAACCGTGCACGTTTCGAGCACGTGTGCTTGGCCGTGTTGTGTGTCACCCGTTGCAGCTGCGACCGAGGCGCTGGGTGTGAACGGTCGTGAGTCGTGTGCGTGCTGGCAGTGGGACAGCGAACCCACACAGGGCAGGGTGGTGGTGGTGCGCAGGAGTACGTGATACAGCTGTCGTGGCTGTGACGGTTCCACCTGAAGACGGAAGCTTGTGTTGCCTCCGAAACGTCGTGATTTTTATTTTATTTTACTTTTATTAATTTTATTTTTTTTACCTACGTGACTTTATCCTTGCAGTCACGAAAGCTTCAAATCTAGAACGAAGAGTGAGCTCGTGCACTGCGCCAGGACGAGGTGCTAAGCTCCGGGCAGTGCGTGCGGGAACATCTCAAGAGGAACGTCACAGACCCGGCACCCTGATGAACATTGACATGGGGTCCACAGTGAACACCGGGCGTTTGTGGAGGAATTTGAATGTAAATGGGTTGAAACGGTCTGTACTACTCTGGGGATCGATTGTTGTAAGTTGTATGTTATGTATTTAATGTTACGGTTTTTTTTTAATAGACGATCATTTCGGCAGAGGTCAAACCGCAGCTGGCACCACGAAGACCCTGGGGGTTAACATCCAGACCCCCCCCCCCCCCCCCTATGATGAAACCAGGTTCTCACCACCAGCGAGTTGGTTACCAATAACTGTACTAAAAAAGCCATCGCATTAAATTCGCCCCTCCCCCCTTAATTTGGATTAATCCAGCTGTGACACTTGACAATTCCAGTTTGACGTGCTGTGAACACGCAGTGCGGGACATGAAAAGGTGTGCCTCGCTTGGATAACAATGTTTTTGTAGTTCTGTGATGTCATCTTCCAGGGCCACGCTACGCTCGCTTCAGTGGCCAAAGATCAAAACAGTCGGTGTCCTCGTATCGTGACGCAATGCGAGCGATATAATTAGAGCGTAATTGGAGGAGAATTATCTCGATGAGAATGATTGTGTGCGCGCGCGCGTTTTTGTGAGCTTCGCTTGTGGCCTGACAGTGGAGTTTGACAGCGAGTTCCTGTGTGCTCGCACCCACGAGCCAGCGTGACACTTGAGTTTGGCCTCTCAATTCGATGACGGGAAGGTCCATCCCAAAAGCAAGCTGACAGAGAGGGAGGAGAATGGGCGATGAGAGAAATTGATAAGATGGGGGGCGGGGGGGGGGGTCCGTGGAGGAGGGAGAGGTGGATGGAGGCATTTGAAGGGCAAGGGAGTGAAAGATGGATAATGGAGAACAACGAGAGGGAGGGAGGAGATAATTCATGTTTTGGAAGCGGGAGTGGGACTCCCCTTATTCGCCTGACCCGGCTAATGATCCCGATAATAGCGCCGCATCGCCATTACAGAGCAATTACCGCCCCCCTCCCCCACTCGCACCGAACAATCGGGCGAAGAGCGCGCGCTCGTCACGAATCGATCATGCGCCACGTAATCCCCATCGCACGCACGGCTGCTCATGTTGGGCCCCGCCGCTGTGGTTCACTCGCGACCCTCCGTGGGTGCCGAGCGCGAGCGGTGCGCCGAGTGTGAGCCGAGTGTTTGTGCGCGAGTGTGAGCCGAGCGCGAGCGGTGCGCGAGTGTGAGCCGAGCGCGAGCGGTGCGCCGAGTGTTTGTGCGCGAGTGTGAGCCGAGTGTTTGTGCGCGAGTGTGACCCGAGTGTTTGTGCGCGAGTGTGAGCCGAGTGTTTGTGCGCGAGTGTGAGCCGAGTGTTTGTGCGCGAGCGGTGCGCCGAGTGTTTGTGCGCGAGTGTGAGCCGAGGGTTTGTGCGCGAGTGTGAGCCGAGTGTTTGTGCGCGAGTGTGAGCCGAGTGTTTGTGCGCGAGTGTGAGCCGAGTGTTTGTGCGCGAGTGTGAGCCGAGTGTTTGTGCGCGAGTGTGAGCCGAGTGTTTGTGCGCGAGTGTGAGCCGAGTGTTTGTGCGCGAGTGTGAGCCGAGTGTTGTGCGCGAGTGTGAGCCGAGTGTTTGTGCGCCGAGTGTGAGCCGAGTGTTTGTGCGCGAGTGTGAGCCGAGTGGTGTGGTGCGCCGAGTGTGAGCCGAGTGTTTGTGCGCGAGTGTGAGCCGAGTGTTTGTGCGCGAGTGTGAGCCGAGTGTTTGTGCGCCGAGTGTGAGCCGAGTGTTTGTGCGCGAGTGTGAGCCGAGTGTTTGTGCGCGAGTGTTTGTGCGCGAGTGTGAGCCGAGTGTTTGTGCGCGAGTGTGAGCCGAGTGTTTGTGCGCGAGTGTGAGCCGAGTGTTTGTGCGCCGAGTGTGAGCCGAGTGTTTGTGCGCGAGTGTGATGCCGAGTGTTTGTGCGCGAGTGTGAGCCGAGTGTTTTGTGCGCGAGTGTGAGCCGAGTGTTTGTGCGCCGAGTGTGAGCCGAGTGTTTGTGCGCGAGTGTGAGCCGAGTGTTTGTGCGCGAGTGTGAGCCCGAGTGTTTGTGCGCGAGTGTGAGCCGAGTGTTTGTGCGCGAGTATGAGCCGAGTGTTTGTGCGCCGAGTGTGAGCCGAGTGTTTGTGCGCGAGTGTTGTAGCCGAGTGTTGTGCGCGAGTGTTTGTGCGCGAGTGTGAGCCGAGTGTTTGTGCGCCGAGTGTGAGCCGAGTGTTTGTGCGCGAGTGTGTGCGCGAGTGTTGAGCCGAGTGTTTGTGCGGGCCGAGGTTTGTGGCGATGTTGTGCGCGAGTGTGAGCCGAGTGTTTGTGCGCCGAGTGTGAGCCGAGTGTTTGTGCGCGAGTGTGAGCCGAGTGTTTGTGCGCGAGTGTTTGTGCGCGAGTGTGAGCCGAGTGTTTGTGCGCGAGTGTTTGTGCGCGAGTGTGAGCCGAGTGTTTGTGCGCGCGTGTGAGCCGAGTGTTTGTGCGCGAGTTGTGCCGAGTGTTGCGCCGACGTGTTTGTGCGCCGAGTGTGAAGCCGAGGTGTTTTGTGCGCAGAGTGGAGCCGAGTGTTTGTGCGCGAGTGTGAGCCGAGTGTTTGTGCGCGAGTGTGAGCCGAAGTGTTTGTTGCGCCGAGTGTGAGCCGAGTGTTGTGCGCGAGTGTGAGCCGAGTGTTGTGCGCGAGTGGTGAGGACCGAGTGTTTTGTGCGCGAGTGTGAGCCGAGTGTTTGTGCGCGAGTGTTGAGCCCGAGTGGTTTGTGCGCGAGTGTGAGCCGAGTGTTTTGTGCGCGAGTGTGAGCCGAGTGTTTGTGCGCGAGTGTGAGCAGAATGTTTGTGCGCGAGTGTGAGCCGAGTGTTTGTGCGCCGAGTGTGAGCCGAGTGTTTGTGCGCCGAGTGTGAGCCGAGTGTTTGTGCGCGAGTGTGAGCCGAGTGTTTGTGCGCGAGTGTGAGCCGAGTGTTTGTGCGCCGAGTGTGAGCCGAGTGTTTGTGCGCGAGTGTGAGCCGAGTGTTTGTGCGCGAGTGTGAGCCGAGTGTTTGTGCGCGAGTGTGAGCCGAGTGTTTGTGCGCGAGTGTGAGCCGAGTGTTTGTGCGCGAGTGTGAGCCGAGTGTTTGTGCGCGAGTGTGAGCCGAGTGTTTGTGCGCGAGTGTGAGCCGAGTGTTTGTGCGCGAGTGTGAGCCGAGTGTTTGTGCGCGAGTGTGAGCCGAGTGTTTGTGCGCGAGTGTGAGCCGAGTGTTTGTGCGCGAGTGTGAGCCGAGTGTTTGTGCGCGAGTGTGAGCCGAGTGTTTGTGCGCGAGTGTGAGCAGAATGTTTGTGCGCGAGTGTGAGCCGAGTGTTTGTGCGCGAGTGTGAGCCGAGTGTTTGTGCGCGAGTGTGAGCCGAGTGTTTGTGCGCGAGTGTGAGCCGAGTGTTTGTGCGCCGAGTGTGAGCCGAGTGTTTGTGCGCGAGTGTGAGCCGAGTGTTTGTGCGCGAGTGTGAGCCGAGTGTTTGTGCGCGAGTGTGAGCCGAGTGTTTGTGCGCGAGTGTGAGCCGAGTGTTTGTGCGCGAGTGTTTGTGCGAGAGTGTGAGCCGTGTCAGCGAGTGGGGGAGCGGTAGCGTCGTGGTCTGGTGCACTGCACTTGCAAAACCTGCGAGCCGAATTCGATTGCCAATAACGGCCGATGACAGTGGTGAATATTTGAACCGGTCCTGTGCCCCCCTTGGGTCGACTCGGCCTTAAATGAGTAGCTGATGTGATTGTCTACACATCAGTACGAGGGAGATAAAGGCGGCCGGGTGTTGTGTTGGTCACCCACGCCTTAATAAAGTCTCGCTAATAGCACTTGCCCAACAGTATGTCAAGCCTATACGGGGGATCTTTGTCAGTGAGTGTGGTGTGTGTGAGAGAATATTGCGGTGTTAAGTTGGCCTCCAATACTATCAGGAGCCCAGAGTTTTAGGTTGGCTTCATCATTCTGCGGTGTCTGATATTCCACTCACGATCATGAAGGGCCTTCATGAGAGTGTGCAGGCCCAAGTCAAGATATCTGGCGGTCAGTCAAAGCTATTACCCTGCTCACCTTGAGTTGAGACAGGGATGAAATTAATGACAGAGAAAAACAAGGTAACCCTAAAAATATTATAAGCGAAAATTGATTAAACTAGTTTGACTATGATTATCATATCGGATGACGCAGCTTTAAAAGGATGCCGTTTATTTTCATCGATAACAAATTCAGTGTTCTGACATGACCGCGTGGCGAGCGTAATGCTGGTTTACTTTAGTATAAGATTAACGATTTGTTTCAATGTTATTTTAGGTGTAATATGCCTAATTTACAAGGAGTCAACGACATGTTACCACGACAAAGAAATTGCAACGAGCAGCCAACATTAAGTGGCAAAAAGAATGAAACGAAACATTTCATTCGTTTATTCTAAACTACAACATTTTGTCAAAATTACTGTATAGAAAAATAAGTTGCCATATTCGCCCAGCTTACCTTATATATGATCATTTCAGAAGTATCAGGGACTATGGCGACTTGACTGCTCTTTTAGGCTAAATGAGAAAACATCAAAATTAATGAAAATAAAATAAAATAAAAATCAATAAAAATATTTTATTTTATTTTCATTAATTTTGATGTTATACCTATGTGACTTTACCGAAAAAACCTACGAATATGAATCCTTGCAGTCACGAAAGCTTCAAATCTAGAATAAATGAGAAAACATTTTCAGCGCCTTAGCCCTTAGGTCTCTACTTAATAGAATTCTAGTATAATGTTTCCTTTCTTAGAAGTCTCTGTCTTATATTCCTGTTTAGGTCTAGCTGTTCAGATATTCTTATTGGCTTCTTGCTTTGTGTATTTCTTATTTCGAATAATTTACTCAAATGTAATTAAATATATTTCTTCAATAAGATATCTTGCCTACATTTTTTATCATACAAACAAAGACCTGCTAACGTTTTTGTTAGTAGGCCCTAGGCACGCACAGTAGCTACTGTGCATGTTGAATAATACGGCCCTGTACCCAAACAGCAGCTATTTGACTTGGGTAGAGTAAAAAAATCAAAATTAATAAAACTAAAATAAAAATAAAATAATATAATACTTTTATTAATTTAGATTTTTTTTACCTACGTGACTTTACCGAAACAACCTAAGAATATGAATACTTGCAGTCACGAAAGCTTCAAATCTCGAATTGGGTAGAGTGGTCTGAACAGATGCAGCATGGGAGAAATAAGAGATAGACTTGAAGTTGAGTTAAAGTGGCTTTCGGATGATTCGGTACCAGCGGTGTCAGGATTGGCCTCTGTGGAGGGCGTATGTTGCAAATTGCTGAATTGGGGCATTGGGGGCATTTGACGGCAGCTACCTTCCAGCAACAACGGGAGGCAGAGGAGTGTTGCTCACAACATCGAGCAGAGTTATTTTTTGGTTCTTTCGGTTAAGTCACGTCTAAAGATAAAATTTTAAATTAAATAATAGCATATTACGACGTTTCGATTGCAACACCAACGTCGTAATATGCTATTATTTAATTTATTATTTTATCTTTAGACGTGACTTAACCGAAAGAACCAAAGAATAATTTCTGCAGTCACGAAAGCTCCAAAATTAAGATCGAGCAGAGTGCCGGGTGGCCAAGACAGCAAGGTGGCACTGCAAGGGAGCACAGGTGGGTGCCTCTCCCAGCCTCGTCTGTCAGTTAAACCAAAACGCCTGCGCGGGGTCCACTCTGCACACCGACCCCAACGCTTCCAGTCAGGATTGCGAGGACGCTGCGAGATGCAAGAACGGGCGTGTTATATTTCGATTTAAAGCTTTCGTGACGGCAGGGATTCATCTTCTTGGTTCTTTCGGTAAAGTCACGTAGAAGGAAAATAGTAAAATAATAAAATTTAAACAATAAAATAGTTTTCTACTTATTATTTTATTATTTCGATTTAAAGCTTTCGTGACTGCAGGGATTCATCTTCTTGGTTCTTTCGGTAAAGTCACGTAGAAGGGAAGTAATAAAATAATATAAAATAAAATTTACGTGACTTTACCGAAAGAACCAAGAAGATGAACGGCCTTGTGTGTGTGTGCACAAGTGTGTGTATGGGGACTAATTGTGGTGCGCTCCAGCACACAACCTGGTGTGTGCATACACAATGATCCGAAATAATCGCAACACTTGAAGGGGGAACATGGCCGTATTAGTATTTAAATTGTTTTAAGCTGTAGTCCACCAGCTTTTCAGCTTAGGTGACTTGTTCAAAACAGTATGAGCTTAAGTCAGGAGGTCAGATTAACCCTGACTCCAGCCCTTGCCACCCCCTCGCTACCAATCTTCTCGCTCAATACGCAAGCTGTAACACGCGGCACGCGCCTGATGCTTGGTAAACACGCCACACGTGCCATAACGAGCACTGTCGAAGTAGGTATCGAAGTCGGTGGTTTCGCTGGAGGCAGTGCAACGTCGACTCAGCGCCACGTGGGGAATGACTCATTCCTCGATCGCACGTGCGAGTCCCACCACCAATCGCGAGTAAGGTGTCCGTTCTGCTGCTCTGCGAGTGATCGTCCGCTTCCCGACACGTGCAAGTTCAGCCAATCACACTGCTCAGTCGCACCCAATTGACTGCCGCGCATGCGTCTCTCGCCAATGAGTGCCCCGGACAGCGAGACATTGCTCGATTAGTGCAGTCACACCCAGTGTCAGCATGGAGAGAAACCTGCCCACACCTCGAGGAGATGCATGTTGAACCGTGACCATCGCAGGTGCGGGTGGAAGCCGCCTTGCTCCACGTCGCTCTGTGCACCCATGCCTAGCATGAAAACAACGTACTGTACTGTATGCGAATCGGATATAGAATCGATTATCAACCGTGCACTTTGATGCCTCGCGCATGATGAAGGCCAGCACCTGATTTAAATCTACGAATCATGACAAACGCGGTCACCAAAGAGCCATACGGAACTCAGGCTTGAGCGTGTGCAGAGAAGCATGGCGAGATGCGTGATTGGAATTGCGTTTGAGAGACAGGGAGAAGAACACACGGATTTGAGAACGTGCGCCGGTGAATGAAATCGTCCGAAATAAAAGTAAGCGCGCTTGGGCAGGACACGCGGCTAGGAAGGATGATGGACGATGGTCGAGATGAATGATGGAGTGGCAGCCAACGCGTCCGAGAGGGATGTCCCCCGAGGGAGATGTAGCGATAACATCTGTTTTTGTGCACGCGCTGGCTGCAACGGATTGTTCGCATGTGGCAAGATCGTGAAGGGTGGCGGCTAGGGGAGGCCGTCACCCAGCAGGGGATGGATCATGGCTGCTGCAGCTGCTGCTGGTGCTACTGGTGCTGCTGGCGATGATTGAGAATCGTGATTACACTCCGCACCACTCATCGAAATCTCCTAAGCGTGACCTGCGCGAGACGTCACGACGACACGGACCCCGCACGTAACTTCTCGTGGGCGGGCAAACCGCTTGCAGGGCGGGGCTGGGCTGTGGGCGGGGGAGCTGCGCAGGTGAGCTCACCTGGGTGAAGGAGCGAGCGAGGAAGAGAGCGGCGAGGAGAGAGACTCACAGACGGTCCCGACTCGCGTACGGTGGGTGCCCGCCTTCTCTCTCTCTCTCACTCACTCACTTCTCCGACACCATCATCAAGCTCTTTCGCGTCTCTCAACTCGGATTTTTTTCTCTCTCTACCTCTCATTCCTCTTGGCTTGTACTTGCATGTATTTATTTCTTTGCGCGGTGTGTTAAGTTAATCGATGTCGTTTTAAATGCTAGATAAAAAAATGCGTGGGTTTTTAGAAATGGGCGGTTTATTTAAACGACGAAATGTTTGTGCTAGTAGGAATGTGCGGTGGTTGTACTGAAGTACGCCGTGGCTGTACTTTGGTTATTGGAAGGACCTTTCATGAAAAGGTGATGGGGCTAATAACTAATATCAGTGTCGAGGTTTGTGTGTCACTCGTTTAAGTGCGCATTAGAAGAGTTGCGAAAAGTTGTGTTCGCGTGGCATCGCTGAGCGTGCCGAGTGCATCGACATCTGTGTCCGTGAGTCCGTGTGAGTCTGTGTAGGTGTGTGAGTCCGTGTGTGGGTCCGTGTGGGTCCGTGTGAGTCCGTGTGAGTCCGTGTGAGTCTGTGTGAGTCTGTGTGGGTCCGTGTGAGTCCGTGTGGGTCCGTGTGGGTCCGTGTGAGTCCGTGTGAGTCCGTGTGGGTGTGCGAGTCCGTGTGGGTGTGCGAGTCCGTGTGGGTGTGCGAGTCCGTGTGGGTGTGCGGGGAGCGGTAGTTGTGGTGAGCGCACTGGCTACAGGATCCCGGTGGTCCGAGTTCGATTCCCGCTCACGACCAATAGCAACCGTGACGAACATTTGAAACGGTCCTGGGAACTCCCCTAGGTCGACTTATCCGAAAATGAGAACCTGGTGCTGTTTGTAAACGTCGCCAACACCGAGACAAGGACGGCCGGGCGTGGTGCTGGCCACCTACCATCCCGTGTGCCGTTACGGCCTTCATTGGTGCTCGCGAACAGCACCTATCCCACAAGTCTGTGAAGGCAATACGGGGGATCTGTGTCTGTATGTAAGTGTCTGCACATGTGTGTAATGTATTGGAGTGCGTGCGTGTGTGTGTCTGGATGCATGTGTCCGTGTAGGTACGTACGTCTGTATGTATGTATGTACGCATCGTTCAGTCATGTCTGTAAAGGTAACCATACTATTCGCTAATGGCATTGATTACCAAGTGCGCTCGTGTGACACCATCGACCGTATTGGTGGGCAATTCCACGTTACAACCGAGCACTCGGGACTTGGCATCACTCTTCCCAGAGACCCGTTCGGCCTGGTCTCAAGCGAGATACCTTCACGTGGTCCAATAGGCCAAACTCGTGTTTTTAAAGTTTTTTTTTTTTACAATCACAATATCGTACATATCATCGGGGATATCGAATACCTCACTCGCATACAATATCTAAATATTGTCATTTACAGAACGCATAGACGACTGTTACCGGCGCTGATTTTAGTGGCATTCTCGAAGCTACAGAGCGCTGAAACATAGGACAAACATAATCGAGTCCATCGTTATGAATACAATTAAACTGAGTTTATTTTTTTTCTAACAAATTCGAGGCCCCCAAAGAAATGACGGCCCCAGAGAGAGAATGAACGGCTTCAAATCACAGGGCAGGGTCAGTCTCTACCTGGAGCTACATCGCACTCCGTCTCGTGTTCGCCACGTGTACATAGACACATACCATCGTCATCGGTGAACCATATAATTGGCCTTTTACGAGGCGCGACGTCGGGAAAATCCCGCTCCCGATTGCGAGCCCAGAGTGTAGCGCACGACGACACGGGGGGTGACCTCGTGAAGCGAGTGGGAGGTAGATCGCCGCCTCTCTCGGGAAGGGGGGGTGGATGCACCTTCACCGGGAGAAACTGGCCCAGTCACACTCTTCCCAGTCTATTTTCACAAACTAATAATGGCACGATAGCTGAGAGAGCCCTTGGTGAATCTACTGCTGGATGGAGGCCTCTCGCCACGCTGGCTGTGTCGGTCGTGGGAGTTGTGTGGTCACACTTCGCCAGGATGGTGATGACGGGGAGACCCAGCAACGCCTCGGACATGGCCCGGGAATCGAACTTGGCCGGATTTATCGCGCAGATCGCTTAATTATATCACCGTTGCGCCACCAACTCCACCCCAATTCCTTTCGAGTGAATTATCACCGTGGGTTTATTTTACTCAGTAAGTAAACAATGATAAACCCAGGCAATTATGGGATATGCAAGCGGTGGCGAGATGTTAATTCCCTCGCCAGGTATGCAGGAGAACATGGGTTCGATCCCAACCGTGACGCTTGTTTATTTTAAGTTTGCATGTTCTCCCCGTGTTCGCGTGGATTTTTCTCTCGGCGTCCTTCGGGGTTTCCCTCCACAATTATAAACATGCGTGTAGAGTATTTGGCTGCTTTGAATTTCGACGTGATAAGCCGGTCACTTGTTGGCCATGTTGCTTCTGAAAAATATCGATATAGCTCAGTGGGCCTTACCTGGTCTAATAAAAACAAAGTTGCTTGTTCGTAAGTTGTTAAACAGTTAGTTAAAATGATCGTTTTTGGCAAATGTCCAGAATTTCGGAAGGGGGGGTAGTCGTTGGAACTGTTCTACAGACTGCGGGTGGAGAGTGGTCGGGCGCGATGGATCGGTGTACCCGTGTGAGCCGGCGGCTGTCTGGATGCATGGGTTGGTGGGTCACGTAGAGATCTGTGAAACTCCCAACCTCGTTAGGATGCGAGGTGGCCTCGGCCGGGATTGCAGGACGGTGGGTTCTTAAAGAGATCTGTGTGAGGTTTTGAGTGCCCCAGTTTCGTGTGCGTGGCCGTGGGGTTTCTCCGGCTGTTCCGGATTTATTCCGACGTGTAACAGGAACATACTTAAAACAATAATTGGCCAATATTGTGCATACACCGTATGTGTTGTCCTTTATCATGTTATGAAATTACATTTGTTATATTTATTTTGTTAAAATTAACCGTGACTCGTATGATCATATAAGGTACAAAATGTAAAATGTACCGTAGTCCAACATCAACAATTCAATCTAAACACTCTAAATGGCCGTGCCTCGGTGCGAATCGCGTTTGTCTAAACTGCTACAAGCCAGAGCGTGTGCGTGGTTGTGTGTGTGGGTGCGTGGTTGTGTGTGTGGATGCGTGGTTGTGTGTGCGTGCGTGGTTGTGTGTGTGTGTGTGTGCGTGCGTGGTTGTGTGTGTGTGTGCGTGCGTGGTGTGTGTGTGTGCGTGCGTGGTTGTGTGTGTGTGTGCGTGGTTGTGTGTGTGGATGCGTGGTTGTGCGTGGTTGCGCGTGTTTGTGTGTGTGTGCGCGTGTGTACGTGCGCGCGCATGTGCGTCTTGTGGTGAGTGGTCGTGTAGCGGTTAGCGCGCTGATCTATGAATCTGGCAACCCCAGTTCGATTCCCGCCTCCAGCCAACATCAGTGACGATTATCTCAACCGGGTTCTGGGCCTCTCCTCGGTCGACTCGGTCTCATATGAGTTCCTGGATCGGTGTGTTAACATCGCCACTGGAGAGACAAAGGCGGTCATGGGTGGTGCTGGCCACTCGCCCCCCTCGTGTTCCATGACGGCCTTCAATAGTACTCGCTAACGGCACTTGCTCCAAAAAGTCTGTCAATGCGAGACGGGGAAACTTTATATTTGGTCTTGTCCTGCTATAGGAACAGATGGCAAGGGCTTTCCTCGCTTTATGTCGGCTTCAGGGTCACACTGCGCGCAAGACGAATCGCTTGGTTCACCGGTGAGGACCAGCGAGTCGGCCTAGAGAGATGAGATATAGTGTCCACTACGACACACAATAATCTCTCTCGCGCTGGTGTGCAATTCACCGACCAAGGAAAGTTGACGATGACGTGTATCCACTCCATATTTTATATATATATATATGTGAGTTTATATAGAGCGTATGCATCCGTCTTTAATTTTTTTTTGAGCGATGCATAATGCATTTCAGACGATCGTGGCTGATTGATGTAAATTCTAATGCTATTCTGGAAGCGTTAGACAGCTGACATCTGTGACAAGCAATGTAGTCCAGTCTGCGCTCATGTCTAAAAAATAAATCCTAAAACCACCCAATCCGAATGTGGGGCTCCCAGACACTTGAGCCTTGGGGTTGACTGGTATCACCCGCAAGACAAGGAGTCACCCTAAAGGTCTCGCATTTCTCGAAGTCTCTCGCGTATTCCAACATGCCGACATCGTCGGTCAACAGAGGAGTTCGTCTCCTGTAGAGTGTGACGCTAAAACCGATTAATGTAATTGTTATTATTATCATCAAATATTGTGACATAGCACGACGTACCGGTTAATTACAAATCAAACTGATGTTATTAATATACAACCCACGATACTACCGAAAAAAAAATTCCCGCACCTCTAATTAGCACAGCTAGCCACGTACGGTGCGAAGGAAGTCCACCGTACACACAATGAAAATCGATAACCACGCGTGCTTGGCTATCTTAACAAAATAGCCAATGGTGATATTCGCAGAATCGGCAACAAATACGCGTTGAGAAGGAGACTGTTGCCAACGTCTTTGCGTGAGAGCCGAGTCAACAATAGAGACAAATTCAACCTCGATACAACAATTGCAGGGGCTATACGCGTCGCATCTGCACTTCATTTACCACCACCACCACTACAATGATCAAATCCCATTCTATAAAAAAAATATATATATATAAATCCCATTCTGTTCTCGCGCATGATGGCAAAATGAGCTGAATGCCAATGTCGAGGCCTGTCAACCATGTGAATTTAGAATGTTTTATTTTATTTTATTTTCACCCACGTGACTTTACCGAAAGAACCCAAAGAGTATGGATCATTGCAGTCACGACAACTTCAAATCTAGAAAGAACTACAGGACTTCCAGTTCGTGTGGTTCTGCTGTTCCTCCTCCTCCGTTGTAGGAGCCCAGAGCACAGTGTTTTACTGCATGTGTGGTCCATCGTGTTTTCATGTCAGTGCCACCTGAAAGACGACGAGTGCCAGCCTCTGGGCGAAGTCTTC